TTTTTCTAGGTGTGACACCTTTGACAAATATCAATAACAATTTACTCTATGTGATTGTCATTCCTCTTTGTTTACTTGGTCTTATTCTTTTTTTTATTTTTTGTTTTCGTTATCGTCGTCGAAAAGATAGTCGTCGTAATCTACACTTACATTCTAGCGATGCTGTAAAATCTTCTATAAAACCCCGACAACCATTAATTCATCATAATGGTGTTATGGTTCCATCAACAACAATTCGGACAAGTAATGATTATATTGCCAATAGTGTTGATTCAATACCAATTACGAGACAATATCAACAACATCAACGATATGGACTACCTCTTTCTTCCGATCTTGCATCACTCACTAGTTCTAATTTGTACTATGCACGCGTACAAGCTCTTTGAAATTTATATTAAATTGAATAATTAACAGTGATATAATGGCAACTTTGGTCTTTTTCTGCGAAACAATAGTTTATGGAATCTGTATTTGTTTGTATAATAAGAAATCTTGTTCTTTTGCTTTTTTTTGTTTATTCGGCTAATATATTGTGTATTTATATAGAATTTTAAAAAAGGATTCATAATTATTTAATCGATTAAAATTCATAAAATGAAAAATTCAAATAAAGTTATATATTGAAACTGTAAAAGAGAAACTAGAGTATAGTGACTATGTTTAGAACAAAGGACGAAGATGAATTCAAATGTGTTGGTGTAGTTATGTTTAGAGTGTCGGCTGTGAATGTGGATGTAGGTGTGGGTAGATTCGATGTCCACAACCAGCAGTAGCAGCCACGCCATCATATCTTGAGATGGGTTGGTCAAATTGACACCGCCGCTACCTATATAAGATACTTTAGAAGACTACCGAAATCAATGAGAAACATTGATTACTAACACTGCATCTGTTCACAGGAAGACTTCAGTTGAAAGCGACGCTATTCCAGTGCCCATCATATGGGTCGAAATAGTCGTAGTTCTGGGAAGCACCAAGAAAAGTCTGCCGTCGGACCTGATAGAGTGAAATTGACAGATCTTAAATGTATTGCCGACAAAGAACTATAACGAACATATAATATATGGTTAAGTTTGAGGCGGATCCCGAATTTGCTCAAGATGAACTGAACCATACTTTTATCAAAAGGTGCAAAGGATCTTGAGAATATTAAAAGCTGGCGATTCATCATCATAGCTTCAATAAATATTTGTATTTGTAACAAAATCTGGCTCGTTAAATGCAATCCATATTCACAATACGTACTAAAGTATCTTGTAATATCACTGATCAGAAACGAAAACGTCGAAGAATCATCTAAGACAACATTTACAATAACTTTCGACAAAGGATCCGAAGCTAAAAAACAAGTAGATGAGACAACATCGAATAAGAAAACGTCGGAAAGTGATAAACAAAAGAAGGCTGAACGACAATAACACTCACCTTCGGTAGAAGCAAAAGAAAATGCTGACAGAAACGACTCAGATTCCGACATGGATGTTAGTTTGCATGCCGATGATGAAAATTATGATAACGATGAAGATGCATTTAAAAGCTTGGGTACAACTACCTCAAACACGAAAGTGCATTTGAAGGGGACAGATAATAGTAAAAAGACACTTAATGAAAAAAAGTTTGGTTACAATCTCTGTGTCGCTGGTGGATGAGATAAATCAATTAGCTTATCACAGTACATGAGACATATGCACAAAAGTGAGTATAATGTCACCATTGAAATTTCGTTGACAAAACGACATTGAACACGTGATGAAATCCTAATATTGGCTGAACTTGAAGCTGACCCAGGTCGAAATCGCCCGGTCGGATCCGAAACTATTCAACAGTCGGAAACCATTGTTATCCGTTACTTTCCGACGATTTCCGATGTCAGATTCCGACAATAGGATCCGATGACATCCGGCAATGGAAACTTGTTGGATCCGACGAAATTCGATTGTAGGAAAATATCCATAAGATCCTTTATTTTATTTTATTTTCATTTAATTGTATATTATTTTATTTTATTTTTATTTTATTGTATTTTTATTTGTTTTAATTTTATTGTGTTTTATTTCGTTTTAATGTCTTTCATTATATTTTTTTTCATTCTTAGGTCATTCTTTATTATTTTGTTTCATCTTTTTCTCTTTTAGACTTTCTTACGATATGAAGTCGATTAACATTGAAGATAGAATTTTTATTCTTTTTCTCGTAGAGAAGAGTCTTGCAAGAATAAATTGTTTGCTTGCTTGCTTGCTTGTATGTCCGCACTTCAGTGATTGGTCCAAAACAAGGGGAACATAAAAGGGATTATTTTTCATAACACTTGACCAAAGGGTAATCGAGGGTGAGGAATTCGAATCTGAGGTTAGTTTTAATTAATTATTAACAAATTAATTATTGATTATTAATTATTCATGTTTTATACAAAACTTCACTAATGTTAATTAGGGTTGAGGAATTCAAATATGAGGACAGTTTTAATTAATTAATAATTAATTGCTTATTAATTATTAATATTTTTTCAAAATATTGGCCGAAGGTAATCGAGGGTGCAGAATACGGAACAGAAGTCTGTTTTAATTATTAACTTATTATTACTTATTTATTTGTTATTTATGTTTTCGACAAAACTTGACCGGAGTTGATCGAGGGTGGAGAATCCAAATCTGGAGTCTGCTTTAATTATTAACCATCAACATTTTTTACGACACTCGAAAGGAAAAATTAAGGGTCAGACCTTGAATCCAAATTCTCTTTTGATTTTTTCACCAAAGACTGCTATTATTCGTCTTTTTTGCTAGAAAACTTCATCGCAGATTTTTGAAATAAAAAATGAGAACTGATGATAAGTTTGTGTTAGTAAGCTGGCAATGGTACGGAGTAATTAAACATACTAATGTTATCATAGTTGAAAAAAAAACTTCACTTGAAGAAATTTAAAAACAAAAACTTCAATCTTGAGCTAGCTGCTGTTACTTATATGAAAAAGTGAATACTTTGGGGAGCGTCCAGAAACGGCACTTCTACGAAAAAGAGCTGAGCGAGTTCACTGACGAGCGTTACTTGTTTTATTTTATTGTGTTTTATTTTTATTTAATTGTATATAATTTTATTTTATTTTCATTTTATAGTATTTTATTTTACTTCTATTTTAAATTTTTTGTTCAACACTTAAATAAAATAACATATTCAAATAAAGTAGATTTAAACTTATTTTGCACTTTATTGCATGCGAGGAGGGAAGTGACAGGAAAGGAATGATAAGGAGGGGGGGGGGGCAAACAAAGTCTAATGTTCAAATAAGAATCCAACAGGATTCCGACTCTATCGGACATTTTCCAACTATCGGATCCGACTGTCGGAAGCTGTCGGATTCCCCGTCGGAAGTTGTGGGATTATTCCAGGAATTCGATCGGATCCGACGGGATCCAACTGTCGGATTCTTTGTCCAGAGGACATTCCATCCTCAGATGGTACATGTATTAATTAAGTTCTTGCTAAGAAATTTTCATCTCGAACACTCGAATCCATTAAATCACGGCTTAAAACTAAAGATTATCGAATTTTGTCGCAACAAATACACGATTGTCGAGTAACTTAAAACATTGAAGGGTCTAGTTTAACAAAAACATCTCGTGATCTAAATCATATTACTGTCGTGAATGACGGCACGTGTGTAGCAAAAGATAATGATTATAACACTAATGATAGACCTTCATTTACTCTACGAGGAACTGGTAATACTGCCTACCCAAATATCCAACAATATATTCAAGATCATATCATTAATGGTAGGATTCCAAGGTGTACTATAGTGAATGATGCTTTGTCGCATTATGTTAACGACGTGTGCGATTCTGGCCCAATACATGAATCACTGAATAGAATACGTGAAGCATTTGAAAATGTTCGGTCGTCAGATACATATAATGGCGACAAGCTAATTACTGGAATCAAATTTAGAAGTGCCAAACCATTGGGTAATTTCCAAAGATATGCGCATTACGAGCGTGTATTCAAAAAGAGGAAATCGAAATTAGCGTCAGGAGTTTTCGATGACGTTAATAATTGCGCACTCTAATTGCTTATGTCCGATAGTTACGAACACTTTTGAAAGATCTGGACAACTGATACCAAAGATACAGGTACATTGGAATATAAAGTCTCCGTAGGAACTAACGCTCTTCTTGCACCAATAACTGAAAAAGAGATAGTCTGGGTTACCAGATCACGTGTCACTTTTGGATGATAAATGTATAGGAAGGTTGAGCTATGCCCACGCAAAAAGTTTTTAAGAAAAAACCGCGGTTTCAGAAACCGCGGTCTGAGCTGAGTTTTTGCAGCTCTAACCGCGTTTTTCTCTGTTCTCACCATGATATTACAAACCACGGTTTCAACCAGTTTTTAAAAGACGCAAAAATGGTCTGACTTTCCCAGTTTTTCAAAATGCGGAACAAAACCGCGGTTAGTCTCAGATTACCGCGGTTTTTTTCTGAAGAATTTTTCCGTGGGTGGTGTGCATATAACATTTGGATTGGTTTACGGCGAATTCCTGAACAACTTAAAATCAATCGCACAGTGTTATTGCCAAAAGGAAAAGATGGTCTCGAGAACATCAAAACTGGCTACCAATAACCATAGCTTCACTATTGATTCGCTTATACAATAAAATATTGGCACACAGAATGCAATCCATATTTCGCACTAGTTCAAAGCAGACTGGCTTCAAACCAGTGAATGGTGTCGGCCAGAATGTAGCTCTCCTTCACAATCCATTAAGACACGCGCGTAGCAAAAAGAATAATCTGTTTGTGTGTCTACTAGATGTGAGCAAGGCCTTTGACTCACTACCTCACGAATCGATCACACGTGCTGTGATAAGGAATGAATGTCCATCCGAATTCATCGATATAATTGATAATCAATATGAGAATTCGTATACAGCATTATCGCATGCGGATAAAAATTCGTAACTTATTGCATTAAAGAGAGGTGTAAAACAAGGTGATCCTATGTCATCACTCCTATTTAATCTTGTCATCGATGAACTCTTCGAGATAATAGGAGATCGCTTTGGATATGAACTCCAAGGAATGGGTAGTGTTAATGCTCGCGCCTTTGCTGACGATATTACGTTAATGTCAGGATCTGAAGTGGGTATGCAGCAACTTCTTTTGGAAACAGAGAAGTTTCTGACTGCTCGTGGTCTTGAACTTAATGTAGAAAAATGTACAGCTATATGTCTTCGTAAAGCAGGAAAGGTTAAAAACTCTCAAGTTGCAGACTCGTCCGTAACAAATCCACCAAGATTTACGGTTCAAAATAAGCCTATCCCGTTATTTGGAATTAATGAAAAATGTCGTTACTTAGGAGTTCATTTTACACCTTTCGGAGCAGTCGATCCAAGAGTATCAGTGTCTGTACTAAGAACAGCACTGAGTTGTCTATCTAAAGCCCCGTTGAAACCACAGCAGAAAGTGCTAATGCTTCGCTCGTATCTCATTCCGCGATTCATCTTTACATTTACACATACGGAATATTACCCGAAGCTAATGGGAGAACAAGATCGTCTCATTAGACGGTGACTTAAAGAAACACTACGACTGCCATCATCTGTAAGCAGCGAATTTTTCTATCTACCCATAAAAGAAGGAGGTCTGGGCGTAAATAAACTCTATGACATAATCGGAATTGCTAAGGTGCGTCTTCATGGTTCGTTCAATCGAGCCGGCGATGAATGTTTACGGTTTCTCGTGGAAACACAAGGATCTGCTATGCATACACGCTGGTGTCATGCGATGAAACTTAGCAACCGCCCATCAGCCGCTAACTTTAACACCAGAAATGTTCTCACCATCGATGAAAGTCGAACTCGATTATCAGAAACAGTGCACGGCAGTGGAAGCGCAGTTTTTCGAGCCAGTCCTATAGCAAATCAATGGTTAGCGGGATATACACGGATAATGAAAGGACGTACGTATATTAGAGCAATTCAAATGCGTACAAACACAATCGCAACCCGGGTATCTATATCTCGTGGTCGGGACTCAATAAAAACATACCGCCGCTGTGGTCTTGCCGATGAAACCTTAGCCCACATCTTGCAAACATGTCCTATTACACAAGGCATGCGATGCCGCATGCATAACAGTGTTGGTCTAAAAGTATCAGAAAAATTACGTTCAAAGGGATTCCAAGTGTTTTCAGAGCAGGGTTTGCCATCACCAGGCTTGCAGACTAATATCTCTCGGCCCGATCTAATCACAAAAAGAGGTGATCAGGCCCTTGTTCTGGATGTAACATGTGTCTTCGAATCCAACTGTAGTTGCCTACAATATGCCTACCGCCGGAAGGTAGATCGTTACAAACTCTTGACCGAAACTGTAAAGCAAACCTATCAGGTCCAAGATGCCATATTTCATGGACTCTGTATAGGAAGTCGTGGTACATACGATCCAAAGCACCTATCCATCTAGCAGTCTATTGAGTTTTCAGGTGCCGAATTGGGTATGCTTGCGATAGGAGTTCTCGAAGATTCTTTGAGGACGATTACCTTGTTCAACAATGCTAACAGACTTCATATCTGGTACTTTGGTATTTAGATATGTGAGGAGTTAGTAATTGGGCAAGCGCTAATCAGTGGTGATTGGTGGTAACAGATACGGTTGTGGTAGTGGCGTGGTGCCTGGTACAATGAAACATCTTGGATCAACATCGATAGGTGTGGAAAAGGAATATGACAATCCCTCGACAAACAGGTGGCAACGACATTCATTTGATGATCCTGACGGAACGGAATACATGCGACCCCTGCTCTTCCCCTGAAATCGAACATAATCCTTCCTTTTTTGCTGTATATAATTAATCAATCAATTCAATAATTTTCCTGGAATTTCCTTCGTATCTGTTTTCCTTCTTTCTCTTTGTATACTTCTTTCTATTTTTATCCTCCCTGTTTTGTCGTCGTCGTGTTTACGGCTGGACATTTCGGTCTTACTTGCTGACCATGTAAATGCAAGAAAGTTTTAAAATTAAATATCGGGCCGCTCACATATTACGCCATCACTAGGGAAGGAAGAGGGGAATTCGCAAAAAGTAAGCAATAATGACGGGAAGAGAGAGGGAGAAGCCGGACAAAACTTCAACTAAAAACTTCCACTCATCATTTTCTTCGAAAACATATGTGAGTTTCACAAAATAAGGCACAATGTTATTCAAATGAGAGTTCATGCCATGAATGTTCGAAAATCAAAATTAACTTCTATCAGATGTGGCAATTAATTCGTATTTCAATATAAAATATTTAATATTTGCTAGATAAGAGAATAAAATCATATTATTATGCATTGTTGTGTTGTGTCTTTAGTGAATTTTAACAAATTCCTTTTCACTATATTTTTCCTTTCATTTTCAGCACTACCTAGGATCCACCAAATGGAAATTCAAGGAATTCAGGAAATTCAAGAAGTCTAATGAAAATGAGTGTATTGTAAAAAATCAAGGGTGGTTTATATTTATATTCTCGAATTTCCATAATTCCATGGTGTATCATACCCTATATCCCTTACTATTTGTATCTCCATTGAATTCCTCGAATTCCCGTGAATTTCTCTGGGTTGCTTGATTTGCTTGAATTTCCTGAATTTCCTTGAATTTCCATAATTCCATGGTCTATCACACCCTATATCTGTTACTACTTACATGTCTATTGAATTCTTTGAATTCCAATGAATTGCTCTCAGTTGCTTGATTTGCTTGAATTTCCTAAAATTTCTCGGAGTTCCATAATTCCATCGTCTATCATACCCTATATTATCCCTTACTATTTGTATCTCCATTGAATTCCTCGAATTTCCTTGAATTTCTCTCAGTTGCTTGATTTGCTTGAATTTCCTAAAATTTCTCGAATTTCCATAATTCCATCGTGTATCAAACCCTATGTCTGTTACTATTTATATGTGTATTGAATTTTTTGAATTTCCTTGAATTGCTCTGAGTTGTCTGATTTGCTTGAATTTCCCTAATTTCCCTGAATTCCGGTAATTATATGTTGTCTTATAATCGTTATTGCTCTCAGAGTGTTTCTTGTTAGAATTCCTTGAATTGCTAGCATTGCTAACTGTGAGATCCTAGGGTTATCTCTTCATTTTTAGTAATACACAAAATTAATTATGTTGCAAACAATTTAAAACAACTAGTAAACAATTAGTGTAGCATTAGAAATAAAAATAAATTCGATTGACAAGAAAACCTTTTCAACAGTTCAATTGATTTTGACTTTGTCGAACTGAACTAAAAAATCTTTTTGGTCCTCCATATTTAATTAAAGTTATATCACCTGTAATTCTATTTCTTCGTCTTTTTATGAGCGATTGTCATCAAGAAGAGAATTGAATAGCACTGTGTATATTTGATAAGAAAGAAATATTTATNACAAGCGGATAGAGGAGGAAAATTTACACACAATATGATAATTTGAGGTTGTGACTAGGTTTCTGTGTGGGTCTCCGCCCAGGTCAATTAGGAAGAATACCTTCAAAAAGCATGGTTTTAGCAGGTTTTTGACAATTTTCTAAGTGTTAATTCGAACAAGTTTTCTGATTTCATATTCAGATTCAGCATGAAATTCGGCATCCGATTCACTATATATTGTGACTTTTCGATGTTTCCTCTGCTAGGAGGGCGTCGAAATTGCCTTTTTCTGGAGACCAAGAAAATGAAGATAAATAGAAGACTACTCATACCTAAAGCATTTTTGGTACTTCTGATATCGATATTCGTGATCAGCGGGGTCAATTACATATTACCAAGGGAGATCTCAGGCGAAAAAGATCTGACCGAGAGATTTCGCTAAACTAAGTGTCAGGAAATACTCCCAAGTGTCTCCTGACATAGTTGCAATGAAAAGAACCCGAAAATGTTTTTGACCAGGAAAGGGTCCTATCCGCCCTCCTCCTTTGAACTGTTTAGTTTTCAATCTTTTTTCCAATGAGTTACTTTACAATGTCTTTCATAGGCAATACTAAACTTAGGCGAAATACATTTTTAATTAGGCGCGAAACAACACAATAATTTTTTTTCCTTGAAAAGTAAATTCTAATTTTCGTTTGCATTAAAGAAAACATGGCGCATACTGGTTTTCTCTTACTAAACAGAGTATGCATCTTCATTTATTCATGTTTTGATGTCTGTACCAATGATTTCTTCTGATTCGTCATCGAAAAATGATTTTCGAACATATTTTTATAAGTGAAGTAATATTTAAAATTCTTGTGGTAGAAAATTTGTCGAGGAATCAATTATTATTCTGTTATAGAGAATACATAAGCTGAAAATCCTTTATTTTTTGGGTTGGAAAATAACTGAAAAAAGCTTAACAACATAATATATTTATGGTTTAAATGCCATAAATGAACCACGTTAAATTTGAAGATAAATTAATATCGATAAAAAAAATACTAGTTAAAAAGAATTCTTTTAAAAGTCCTTTTCATTTTTCGGTTGGAGTTTGCTAACACAAATGAAGTTCCAATTGAGAACACTTACGACTACTGTAACATCCTAGACTTAACTAGACTTGAATTAAAGTCGAACAAAATATAATAATTATAAATATATAAAGACAGTTCTTTATTCTCATCTTTTTCGATTTTTTTTAATTTTGAAATCTTTTTAAAACTGTTTAATTTTATTTGACACATATTCTTTATCAATATAGTCAAGGGTTAACATCTTTCTTACAATAACATTAGAGTGTTAGATATCATCCAACAATGCGAGATTAAACGGCAATATAGACATTTTTACAAAAAGACTCATTTTATAGATCACATCCGTTAAGCTTGCATAACTTAAATACTTTCTCAAGGCTTCAAGCTATAAAAGCCTAAATTTCATTGAGTTAAAAATATATACGTTCTATCCTGATAGATATTCAATTATATACATATTTATTATTGAATCATTAGGAACTCTATTATGTTTGCTTCAGGTTGCCCCAAATGCATTTAGAGAAAAATTACGAGAAACGTTTTTTTTTATTTTGAATCCTTATGAGAAATGAAATGTATTCAATTTATGATCAGTCTAATCTCTGAATTGTGTCATTAGTTTCAGAAATAGAAGAAGAAAAAAGAATTTGATCTTACCAAAAGCAACATATGTTAGTTTACATTGAATATTTTCTCGTTTAATATCTTTTGGATTTAATGGTGGTTCATTAATAATTGTTTCACATATCAGAGCAACATTTGCAACAAGTCGAACTTGAGGTGCTTTTATCTATTTATAAACAAATTAAATATGAAAAGAATAAATTATTCTTCATACAGGTGCAAGAGGATGTGAAGTAGTATAATTAACAACAAGCCATGTTGGTTGATCTTCTTCAGAGTTTGATATACAACGAATATGAGACCAAAAACATGAATCACGTTGAGCAGCTGGCCAGACACGTTTATGCATTTGAAAAAAGATAACTGTATCTTGATCTAATACTTCAATAACTTTGGTTGAGTCAAGTGTTGCTAAAATAAAAAGTTTCAAATAAAAAGAAAGAATAAAAGAATAAAATTAATTAATATAACTCACTTTCCCACTCCATACGATACTGAAGTTCCCAAAAATATCGGCAAATTTCATGACCAGTAACACCCTAATGAAATTAAATACAAATTTTCATCAAATACAAAAATAAATAAATTGATTTACTTTAATTGAATGAAAACTTTTTAATGGATCAACAACAATTCCATTCTCTTCAACTTCACGTCGATAGACTTTCATTTCACCTTCTTGATGTATTAAATCCCATCCATCACTAATTTCTTCACGAACATATGTTAAATGTTCTTGAACAACACGTTCAACCTAATAAATTATATTAATATTAATTATTCAATAAAAAGAATAGAAAATTTAATTTACATCATCAGCTAATCGATGTTTTCCTTTAGGAGCTATTTTTCCATCATTTGGTGTCACAACAACTGTTACATCATTAATTGTTGTTGGAGTAGATTTAGCCGAATCTGATGCTGTAGAACTTTTTGATTTCTTTGTTGTTGATCGATGATCAACGGAAGATTTTGACGAAGAAGAGAATAATTTTCCCTTTAAAAAAATATGAAAAAAACCATAAGGTGAATATGTTTATGTATGTCTAATAAAGATATATATTTGAATATAGTTCGTCGAACCTTATTTAATGACTGTGAAGTTTGTTTTTTAGATAACTTTTCAAATGGATTCATTTCAAAACAATGATCACTAGTGTTGCTTGTAGACGGTGGTGTTTCAAAATGTTCATCGTCTGTAATATGAATAGCAGCAGTCGAAAGAATAGAAGAAGAAGCAAACGAAGAAACAGTTGATGCGTTCGATGTCGAAAGAAATTTACGTTGTTGATAACAAGGGCGTAAACCTCCAACATGACTTAATGGTGAGGAACAAGATGAAACAAATGATGCTAGAGATATAATCGTGGCTGGATTTGAACAACTGGATGCAAATGTATATGATGGTGGGATATGTAAAGTCTTTTTTACTGGTTTCATTGAAACGAGTTTCTTTTTCTTTCTTATCGTGGTTACACAAGTTTGTATGCCGTAGATTGTGTATATATTTAATAAGTGACGCTAACACTTATAGAGAAAAAGAAGAGAGAAAGCATGTAGTATGTTTTTTTTCTATTGTTTACGTGTCTTCCTCTTCCAATTGTACTGAAGCCGCATGTAACCATCATACATAGAGAGAAAAATTCTGTGACGAATCATCATTTTAACAGTGATGTAACAATACTGATCGAAGAATGCGAAAAAGGCAATGAAGACAAAGAATACAATATAGTAAAGGAAGGTTTCACATTTTTTTTCGTTATTAAGTAAATTCATGAAAGAAAAAGGGAAGAAAAGGCAGAAAAGTACTTTTCTCTCGTTTTTGTTTTTCTTCGAAACACATATTTTGACAAGTTTTATTCTTATCTTTTACACTGGCAATGTATTTTTGAATGAATAATATATATATCTATAAAATTGAACAAAAAAAGAAAAGACAAAACTACTCACCAAACGTTGTAAATCATCAGTTTCACGATCGATTCGATCGAGTGATTGATCAAGTGCATCGAAAAACTCATCTTCTTTTAATGTACTATATGGCCCTTCCTTTAAAAGTAAAAGAACAATGATTAAAGAAAGTATCACTTTTAGCTTTCAATCTATTTACTTCAGCATCGGGTGAACCGAGTGCAGGAATTTTTTCTTTGACTATGTTAGTATATAAATCTTGGAATTTTTTCCGACGTTCTAATTCCTATTGATACAAAATCAAATTAAGATCTAGTATGAGTTTTGATTTTATTTACTTTTTCATATTTTTTTCTCCACACATCTTCTCTTTTTTGCATTAATTCAATGCAAAATGTTAAATTATGTATTACACCATCTGTAGTAGCTTTAAATGTTAAGGCTACATAGAAATATAAGAAAAATAAATTTACATACATAAAAAAGAGAAATTTTATATGTAAAAACCTTCGCCTTTGAAATCAACAGCCATAGCTGCATGATCAACAAGTGACAATCGGTCAATTCCTAAAGATTAATTAAGAAATATAAATCTCTTATGAAGTATAAAAAGGAACTTGTTTTCGATGGTGAAGTTTTGCCTGTTTCATCATGTAATGCCGGTATAGCATGATTTTTATCCAACGGATCTTCAAAATCCAAATCATTTGCATTCTCATCTAAATACATTTAGATTGTTTTTCTGTTTTGTAATAAAATCAATTTGACTAACATTCTTTTTGATATGGCTCAAAACCTTTTGTTACAGCATTAGCGCATGCATCAAAATAGGTTTGTAATGTTGCAACTTGCTGTGAAAGTAATTCACGATATGTTTCTAATTCACTTAATTTTATTAATAGACTACGATCTTTCTATAAAAATTAAAATATTTGGATGCTTTTTTCATAAATGATAGTATCGTTACTCGAAATGAACCAGTTGAAGCAACACCGGCACTAGCTGTCGAAGTCAATGATCCAAGACTTGGATGACGTCTTAAACTTGTTTCACTTCCATAACCGGATTCACTTTTACATATTTGCTTATGATCTTCTAAAGCTTGCATCCATCGTTCACGATCGTTCGGATTATGTGCACGTAAATACCAGACTGAATCACTAACACGTATATCAAATCGACAATCATCGAATTCATGAGGCTAGAAAAAAACAAAAACTAGTGTATTATTAAATAAAATGATTTTAAACAAGTTCAATAAATATTTTTCTAACAATGAATAGATCATTCTCTTCATTTAATTTTGCATAGACGAAAAAATTCAGTAACAGAGATGGGATCGGTTCGTGGTTTTTTGCAACCAAAGTGAACCGACCAACTTTTTAAAAAGTTCGAACCGAACCGATTTCACCTTTGGTTAGCAAGTCAATATCAACACTAAACTCAGACTTTACAATGTAATTTTCTATTGAAACAGTCGAAGAGAACTAGATTTCATTCTTTTACATTCTATAGATTATCATTTTCTTTCGAAAAAAGCTAGATTTATAAAGAATCGAACATTATAATAAAATTGTAGAGAAAAGAATGAAATAAATTGGAATAAAACTGAAAGCTAATGTTATAATTTGACTTATAAATAATATTTCAATTTGGACGACTCAATTTTAATCTTCTACTATTTTAGACATTTTCCATCAAGGAACTATTGATTACTTCAAATATATATTGATATCAAAATCTCAAAGTATTATGTAGTTAATTCGGAATAATTGGTTTATCTGAGCACAAGAAGAAAAGAACAAAACCTTCAATGTGTCAGTACAACTGAATATATTCTTTAAAAACAAGTTGTCTCAACAAAATCAAACAAACTATTTACTTTTTTCTTAAACTCTAATTAATTAATTATCAGAAATATTCAGTGACATATCCATACATTGCTCTGCCCTGCTTCATTGCATCGTGCAGGGCAGGACAGGGCATCCTGCAAGACCCAAACATCGTCTTGATTGCATTTTTCATTCGACTTCAAAAACAATAACGTTTGCATATTTCAAAAGTAGGCTCCCAAGGAGTCAATGCTTTTGTTGAATTACTATTTTCAAGATAGAACCTTTGTTCTTTTCTCAATAATAATTGCTTTAATCGTTTAGGAATATAAAAATTCGAAGAAAATGAAGTTGAACCATCAGCAAAACAAAGTAGAGATAAATTTGATGCGCCATTAAAATCAGCACGGCTTGTTCACATAACGCGACAGTTTGCTGATCAAGTTTTTGACAAAATATTTTTTTTATGTTAGCTACATTTTAATTCATTATTAGATGCGCTTTTTCACGCTAATTACAAATTTGACGTTTGTTCTTTAAAGAAATCGATTTTCGCATCGAAAATCGGATTTTAAACTTTTTCAAAAATTGTATTTTGAATCTCCTAATCAGGAGTTTTTTTCAAAAAATGCTAGGTGACATATCATTCGATATAGAATTTAATTCTTTACAAAAGGACCTATTTATGCTTGACTCTTGTCGCTGAAGACAACTTTTACATGCTTACACAATTTCCAACTAACTGTATAGCTGATGAGCTTCTACTTTGGTGTAAGAACTTAATTCCTTGCATATAATTATGAGATATACAGAAAAAGCTTGTTAGCGCAGCCCCTTTGGGGCTGAAATGTGGAACTCACATATGTTATTCAGCTTCGTTATATTAATACGAAATACAGAAGGTGCAAAATAAAGAATTTTTTATTTTTCGTTTTCTGACGGGAGCCCTATTTTTTGCTTTTCATTGTTACTATTCGCTCATTATTTTTTTAATTTTTTTCTAATTCGTTTTTCTTACTTTATCATTCTTATTATTATAATCATTGAACTGATTGACAAATAAGTGTGTTTTACATATCTATGATATCTACAGTAGATCTTACACACTATGATATACATTAATGAAGTCACAAATAATGATATTGAGTATTTTTTAAAATATTAACAGGTGTCTATAATTGGGGCCTACATTGCTAAGTGTCTGTAATGGGGACTTCGGTTGCTATGGTGTCTGTACTGGAGAGGGGGGAGCCGCGAAAACTTGAACTTAAAACTTACACTCACTATTTTCTTCGAAAATATATATGTGAGTTCCACAAAAGTAACGATTCATCTTGTATACAGGTGCGGAAAAACACAACAGCCGTTACTTTTTTTATTTCTTTGATAGAGCAGCCAAAGTATCAATCGCCCAGCTAATGTGCTAAAAGCGGGATTTTTCAGTACCATGATGCAAACATGCATAATATTCAGGATGTATCAAAAGTAGTTGAGACGACTGATATAACTCTCTAGACTAACGCTAATCGAGTCTTACGCCAATGTATATTTGAGCTAATACTATCTGTGTCACCGAAAATCGCAGAAATAAGTGACTTTCTGCAANAATGATCTAGTTTGGCTGAAATCTTGAACTTAAAACTTACACTCACTATTTTCTTCGAAAATATATGTGAGTTCCACAAAATATCAATATTTATGAAAATCAAATATTTTCGAGCACGTTAAGTGGCTCCAAATTGATCGACAAAAAAAGCTGTCTAACAGCGTTAGGTTTGTTTTTTGCATTTTTTATCTAAACAAAAATGACTTAGAGAAAATCTTTTCTACCGTTTTAAAAAATCATTCGATTTTCTACCTAACTGGCTCTAGAAGCATTTCATTTGGAGAAATACTTTGGCAAGAAATCGAAGTTTTACCAGTAGTACTGGAGAAAAAGGATCTTTTATGTAACAGTGTTGCGCGATGATAAAACCTTCATAGAAGTCCAAGATTTCAGCCAAACTAGATCATTCTGATAGCATGTATAGAGTGTGATAAATTGCGTCGCATGGCATTTCTATGAACTTTAGAGTTCTCAAAACTTTACGAGATAATTGAAAGAAAGTGTGCCGAAAACGTAATAGCATTACTTGTGGACAAACCAAGCAAAAGACAGGGAATAAGTGCCATGATCAGAACCAAATGATATAAAACTCATAAACTAATCTTTTGTACAATTTTTCACTGATCATTTTATTGATTTGTACCATTTTCATTCAAATTTACATCTATGGATGAAAACTCTGAATATCAGATGGTATGGTCCTCTGCAGTAGACTTTTGACGCTCAAAAAAGTTCTTTTTGAAGATGAAAATTTGTTGTCCAAATTTTCAAGATTTAGAAACATGACCCTGCTTTGATTCACGACAGGACAGGGTGCAGCATAGGGCAGGATTATTCTGCTCTGTGAACACCTCTATCAGTTATGATTACAGGTGCGAGATAGAGATAGAGTAGATTACGGTTATATGCTTTATCATTTCTGTGAAAATTATGTTAAATACGATACAAATTGAAACCAAATTCTGGATCAAATATAAAAAACCTGCTATATTCGATGATTGCATAAGTCAAAAGCTGATAATTTAAGAATTTGCTTTTCGATTTTAAGTGAATATATTTTGAAAGAGTTCTCTTAAAGCCAGAACAAAAAAACTCGATGATTTGCATATCCACCTATCAGTAAGTAAATAGTTTGATACAGTTTGAATAGAATCCAGTTCAAACAATATCGGAATTTTTTTAATTCCAAAATCATAAAAATAATCGATGAACATTTTCTTACTCTTATAAATGATAAAATTATGATAGTTTATCAATATGTTTAACTCGAATTCGATAAGTTTTTATGAATGAAATGCTTTTCTTGCTATTACCTAATATTTGAGAATATAGTCCGCATATTATTTAAATTAAAATTAATAGAAATATTAATGCTTTTATTAAAAAATATTTTTACCTGAATAATGGCTTGTATTACAGATAGAGCTCCACGGCAACCAAGAGTAATATCAAATTCATTTTTATAATAATTTAAAAATCCATGTCTTAATATAAGATATCTTTCTTGCCAACCATGTAAATAATTTGTCCATTTAAAAAGTCTTCCTTGAAATTCGCCATTACGAAATGATCCATCTATTGTTTTTTCATCTTCGAGGGATTCTTCATCATCTGACGTTGTTGCACCGTCACCAGTTGATGCCATTTGAAATTTTGCGAAAATTACTTTTGCTGTTTGATATTTTCGTGGTTACTTATTGTTCATGTGAAATCAGCAAGAAAAAGCTAAACAAACTTATACAATTAATGAAGCCATTTATGAATAAAAAAAACAGAAAAAAGAAAAGACTGAAACAAATATCCATTATAAAAGAAGACAGAAAAATATGGATCACATTCAATTATAATTGGTTCATTATAAGGACGAATAAGAATGAATGTTATGATCCGTACTCACACCAAACACTGTTGTTTTGCTTCATTGCTTTTTGTTTTTGTTTTGATCGGGATTACTAAAAATGTACATGATAACAATGACAAATTTTCCATAGAAACATGTGTAGTCACAACATAAACATTGATAATTTTTTTTTAAAGAGAAATAGATTAGTAAGGCTTGTTGTTTACTAAAAACAAAATATCTTTTCGAGTATTATTCATATTCTACATTTTATAAATAGATAATAAAATGAATTTACTGAATTATCAGTATTTAGGACCTGCTCATTTAAAAGGCCTTGATGCATATAAGGTAAAGAATTTCTTTTTCTTTTATCGATTTTATTCATATCATTACATTAGTATAATGCTGTTGATACATCACCTGTATCTCTTTATATTATGCAACCATTTTGGAATTGGTGTGTTGAGGTAAAATGAAAACTTAATATTTATATGAAGTAGAATATTTTTAGTTTTAGTTTTTTCCGCGTTGGTTTGCACCAAATTTAATGACATTTCTTGGCTTTCTTCTTCTTGTTGTTAATTTTATCATATTTTCATATTATGATTTTCATTTTACTGAATCAATTGCTCTTCCACAATGGATTTGGCTTGTCGCAGCCATTTGTCAATTTTGTTCACATCAATTAGGTACTACTAAATAGTTAATATAAATCTTTTTTTCTTCATGACAATTGTTTTCTAGATGGTATCGATGGAAAACAAGCGCGACGTACGAAAAGTAGTAGTGCATTAGGCGAACTATTTGATCATGGTGTTGATTCATGGGCTACTTTCTTATTTCCAGTTTGCATTTTTTCTGTTATATCAAGAGACGAATACGGGTTTAGTCCACTGTCTATGCATCTGTTACTTTTTTCTACTTATATTCCATTTATTGATACACATTGGGAAAAATATAATACCAAAATACTTTTTTTACCATGGGCTTACGATATATCGATGCTGGTAAAAATAAATATAATCGAAAAACATCCATGTAGAATTTTTTAAATGTGTTTATTTAGATAATGACAGTAGTTTATCTATTGGCATTTTTCTTTACACCGAATATATTTCGTTTTGATGTTCCTATACTAAATGTACCATTTGCACGAGTAGCAAAATATGGATGGCCGTGTAAGTTTGTTGAAATAAGATTATAAATATACATAATTTTTGGATTTATTTTATTATGATAGTATTTGGATTGTTGTCTTCGATTCCGATTAGTATTGCTCATGTCCTTGAGTGAGTAATTTCTTTTTTTCTAAAGTTGCTTAGCGAAGAGTTTGTTCAATTTTTTCTTAATCAACGAAAATAACTGATAGAATGATTCCATTAAGCACAGACGAATTAAAATAATTGATACAATAATCCACTCTTAATTGGAATAAAGTCAAGCGTGTGTCAAGAAAATAGAATCTAGTAAACAAATGGTCTTAGCATGATTTAATATGACTAACGGAAGATCTCTATCGATTAGTGCATATGAAATGTGTTTACTATTAATAAACACCGAAAAGGTGAACTTTTTTTTTAAGTTTCGAGTGTATACTGTGAACGGCAAAATGCTTGCAAATTGTATGTTTGATGGATACTTCCGTAGATAGTCAATCGAGAATTAAAGCACAGGATTCTCAGGAAATTTATTTTCTACTGTAGAACTTTGCAGAGCTCGTTGTGCTAATCATTTTGGTAAAAAAATATTCAAACTCACTGATAAAATTATAATGCTAGAATCAAAATACTCATGAACTTTGAATATTCCTGACTGCTGCTGAGTGATAGTTGATGTTTTCGGGTATTTTGACATTAGCATCATGACCTATTGAGTAAACGCAAATATTTTTTTACCGAAATTATCAGTGCAACGAGTTCTACAAGGTTCTACAAACGAAAATAAATCTTCTCAGAATCTTGTGTTTTTTGTAGTAGACTACTCATGGAAGTATCCATCAAAAATATAATTCGCAAGTGTTTCATCGTTGATAGATAGTGAAGAGTTGAGTGAGATAGAGAAACAAGGTCTACTGATCCATTTTCTTATTCATTTATTGCTTACAACATCTGGATCTATAGAATTACTTTAACTTGATCGTTACGTATCAAAGGATGGTCGTAGTCAAAAGCACTATAAACCATTTACATATAAAAAATAGTAAAATTTTCAATAGTTGATTGCGTTACAAAACTAATAAGCTCATATCGATGCATCTTACAGATTACGTCTGAATATGTTTAAATGAACATTATCTCAGTAGGAGCACTCTGTACGGATTGAATTCTATGTCAAATATTCAGTTTTCCATAGCTAAAACTTGATTTCATACAAATTTAAATAAACAGATGTGAGTGATGTTTTTTATTCAAAAAAATCTTGTAAAAGTAAAATAGTTTAAAATCTTATTTCATTATAGGTCATATCGCAATGGTAAAGGCTACAATCGAACATTTTATGAGGCACTACGACCATTAATAGCAACAACTATTCTATTTATTTCTTCAACTTGGTGGGCACTTGCATCACCTCACATGGTATTACAAAAACAACCACGTATATTTTTGGCAGCTGTCGGTACTACTTTTTCGAATATTGCTGTATGTATGAAATAGTCCGTTTTCTGACTAACTTCTTTCTGTTATTTATTCAGTGTCGTCTTATTATTGCTCAAATGACATCAACTCGATCCGATGGTATTAATACTCTTCTTTATATTTTTGTACCAATACAATTAATGTCTACTTATGGTGTATTCACGGAAAAAACGGAATTTCTTTTCTTATTTCTATACACTGCTATTGTTATTTTAGCACATCTTCATTATGGTTGTTGTGTGGTTAGTTGCATTGTATGTGTATGATAATAATTATAAATTGTTTGTTTTCTAGGTTCGACAAATATGTGATTATCTGAATATATCTGCTTTTAAAATAACGGATCGCTCAAAAGATCCTCCACCAGCTACAGCCGATATTCAACATTAACACAGCAATCGTTCTTTAATCTTTTTTTTGCTTTTTATTCAATTTTTTTTTGCTTTTTATTCAATTTTTTTTTGTTTTTTCTCTTCCATTTTTATTCTTGCACTCCATCTCATCGATTTTTTCCTTCATAAAAAAGTTTTGATGAAAAGAGATTATTTGCAATTTATATCTGTGGACGTTTGCATTTGGATATCCATGCTTTTTCGATTTGGCTTTATTGAGAGTTAATGAGCCATGTTCCCAATTCGCTTGTTGGCCACGAATATATATAAAATTGTGGCCACTATAACTTGTTTGTTGCTAAGAACGGTCTCTTTTTCTTTCATCTATCTCTCTCAATCGTCTTACAGGTACGTACCAGTAAAACGTTTGAGAAAAATAGATGAAAGAAAAAGAGACCGTCCTTAGCAACAAACAAGCTATAGTGGCCACAATTTTATACATATTCGTGGCCAACAAGTGAATTGGGAACATGGCTCATTGATTTTGTTTTTATATCTTCGTTCTGTTTTTTGTATGTACGAAGATCATGATTAATTAATGGTGTTTGTTATACTGAATATTCCATTTTTGTGTTTCGATATAAACTCTTCATTAAAAGATAAAAAATGTATTAATCAGGTGCTTAAATTAGTTAAATCTAGAAAGATAATATATAATTTAACCATTTGATGGGCGGTGGGACAAATATCTACCACTTTTTGTTTTTGATTGCAGAACTATAATAAACTAGGATTATTTACTTTGGTAAAAAAAACGATGATACTGCAGTAACTTCGTTGCTTATTATATATAGCACCTGGTTGCTCCACAATCTGTTTAATACAAAACAAGGATATGAGCGTGGATGTGAATGTGAATCTTTTATTCATATCCAAGAGTACTCACATCTTCGTGCATGATGATCTTGATCACCATCTATTTGACTGTCTCATCGGGATCAACAGAACTTAGCTATCTAAAGTTCCATCCTCAAAAGTGTTAATATTAAAACAATTATATATAAAACACGTCTATTTGCTAGATAGTTTTCGTTCATTGTCAATATGAATAGGGATAGCAGCATATTATTACAAAGAGTTAGGCACAGTGGGCGTTTATTGGTTATTTTGAACAAACTTTTTACATATGATCTTGACGTAGAACCGAACAAAGTTTAGGTAGTAAACCGTTTCAAACTATTTAGTTTTGTTGTTGTCATAAAAAACAATGTTCTGTTTCACCGTGTTCTTTGCCAGTGGAGTTTCTAATCTTTATAACATTACAACAATTTCGAAAAGCATAAGAATCATTTATTTCACATTAGACTATTCTATACTTGGAACTTTTAGTTTTCTCAATAGGAGCGAAATGGTCGGTATTTTGCTGGTTAAAACTCATAACTTAACCAGCGAAAAATCGGTACGTTTAATATATCAGTTAATGAACTAATTCTCTGGAGAAAAGGCCTACAGTTCCATGAAGACATACTATGTGAAATTCATATAACTTTGGGAATTTCTAATAGAATCAATTTCTATTTTACTTTGGTACGTTCCATACATACTAACATAGGAATCAAGTAAGAATACTTTCAAAACTTCTGATCTAGTAACTCAAATCGACTGATATTGAACAATATCTAGGCTTTGCTGTGTCTCACCTTCTTCTATAAAGATATAACATCTTTTCAAGAATCGATAAGCTTGATATTTTCTTATTTGAAGTCATTACTTAACACAACTGAAATGCTTCTCAATTTGTATAAGACTAATACTACTGATATGAAGACAGATGAACTATAAAGTTTCACTTTTATGCTGAACATTATACTTAAGTTTTCTAATACCTAGATATCTTCATAGTTGCATGAGGATAGCAGTTGGTATAACTTTCACAACAGAAGAAAATGTTTTTAGATATTTTTGTAATGAAAACGTGAACTAGCAATTACTAGCAAGTGAGAATTTTTGACACTAAGTTACGAGTAATCCGAAAAAGTAAGCTCGAGATTTCGAGGTGGAAGATCTTTAGTTTGAACCAAATTTAGCTTCTCACGACTTTCTAATTTTTCATGACCATAATAAATTCATTCAGCATGATCCGAGATCTTCATCGTATGATGAGAAATTGTGAGTTCAATATTTAGAGCTGGAATTTCGATGTCAACCAGAGATTTGTTACTTAGAGACTTTCGTGCTCATATTTATGGATCGTTAAAACCGAGAAAATCGTGCCGGTTTTGAAAGCTCAACCGAATTGGACCGATTCTCAATTTCATGATAATTTTTCAACACGTTATTAAAATAAGGTAAATTTGAGGCACCAGTATGACAAGAAACTTGAGTTGCAGAAGTTATTTTACTGTTTTCATCTTGAGAGCTTGTTCAAAGATCAACGAAATAGACTAAAGAAGTTTCTTATATTGAAAGAGATTGTGTTTGACCTTTTTGTTTTTTTTGTAAAACATTCAAGAATTCATCTAACGGATCGTTTCCGTGACACTTTTTGACTAAAATCTTGAATATTGGCACCAATACTACACTCGAAAGAAAGTATTTTTTATGAATAATATTTATATTAACATGAAATCCCATTTTGATAAGTGATAAAGAAGAACATTATCATAATCTTCTGTCGTTCTATTGAACTTATGATGTTAAATACATGCACAAAACAAGAAAGCTTAAAATGCGGATAAGTATACAAACAAACACTTTTCAAACTTTTTTTTTTTTGAATATTTTAGCAACAACAATTTTGTTGAAGCCTAATCATACGTATGTATTTCACTCAATAAAATGAAACAAGTGATAATATCACAGAAGAGAAAAGTTAGCTCGGATGTAGCTAATTTTGTTATGCCTTTTATTCATATAATTCTAGGATGAATCCAGTTTACATGCTACTTTATGTAAATAAAATAAAAGACATTACGAAGAACTATAACGATATTGTTAGTTAGCTTTACTATTGTCTCAATTTTTTAGTTTTCTTCACAAAATATATATGAGTGAATTGCAACTTTTTGGTACAATTGACTCGAAAAAATAAAAGTGAAGCGAAACAACTTTTGAGCAGGGTATTTCATTGTACTCTATGTGTGTGTTAGAAGCAAAAGTTTTTCAACACTTCATTGATTATTAAGAGAAATACAGGTTGTAGTATATAATTTCTGCTTAATTCAATAATAAATTGATATTGCTCATTGAAAAGTGCAAGTTATTTTTCAGCTCTGTGTGAACGATAGAGAGTCAGAAAAAGACTACAATATACTTGACTGTGCTTGCCGCATTGTATTCATTTAAATTATATTTGAAAAGAACATTTTTGAATGAGTTGCACTGAAAATATTTGCGAAAAAACGTCACTGCATATCTTACGGAAAAATCTCACTCTATTTTTTTTAGTATAATGTATATTTCTCCTGAACAGAAGATGATTGAAGGCTAAAATTTTTACTGCTAATAGAACTTTTTGTTCCACATCTGCTGTGAAAAATTTGAATCAAATCGAACAACTCGTTAAAGAGTTATAAAGCAATCAATTTTCAAACCGTCATTACAAAGATCGTCACTCTACATGTTTTTCTAAAAAATGTCACTACATTTTTCAGCATAATGTAAATTTTTCCTGAACAGAAGAAGATTAAGGGCTGATATTTTTATCGCTTATAGAACTTTTTGTTTTACACATACTGTGAAAATTTGAGCCAAGTCGAACGATTCATTGAAGAGTCATAAAACATTCAATTTTCAAATCACCACTCTACAAAGTGAGTTTAATGATATTTTTTTCAGAAAGTCTTGTTACTTTTATCCACAAACAACGCTGATAAAAAAAAAGTTTTTCTAATCATTTTGTTACTCAAAGAGTTGTTTTTCTTTTCGTATAGTCTGCATATCACCAACTTTATCACTGGCAGAACTTTAATCAGGCTTCCGTCACTCTACACAAAAATACAAAGTGTCTGTCCAATAATGTGAATGTTAGAGGAAGGAGAGAACAAAATATAAAATTTAAATCGATAGTATATTTCGATAAAGTATCGAACGCTGTATAAAACAGCCTATTGCCATACTTTTCTCTTGCATTTCCATAGCCAAAAAATTCCTTTTTCTTCTCGCGTGTCAGCAAAAACTAACATTTTTTTTGGGTCGTATATCTCTCATGACTCAGCGACGGTATGAGCCACAGAGCTGAAGTTTTGTGTCATAGTGAGGTATACAAGGGTCAATAAGATATAAAAAAAACTGTCCGAATTGGTTCAGAGAAACAGAAGTTATTAGCTAAATACAGTTAAAACGGCAATGATCCCAAAGGTTGCAATTCACTCATATATATAAACATGTAAAAAGTTACAATCTTGGCACTTAAATAAGATTCTTCTCACCAACAAAACCAAATTTGAATTTGATCAAGCTTCAAAGTCCTAATTCGAGTGAGACTGAGCCTAGTTGTTTTCATTTTGGGTAAGAATCAGATCTCACTCAGCCTACAAATTCCTCCATCTCTGAATATGAATGGTCTATATAAAGCAAAACTTTTATAGTCTTATTTCGATTTGACATTGAATTGAAATTTCCTTTTGTGTTTTAATTGAATCATTATATATATATTTTTTTTATCTGTTTGTCGCCATGAAAACAATAAATATATTTTATTCTTATTAATTATTTTTCCCATTATGCTTACAATCAAAAATAGAAAACTTTTTAGATCGATATATGACCATGCACTTGTTGTTGATCATTATTTCTCATTCCTGTAAAAATGAATTTCTTCACGAAAATAATTTTATCAAAAAGAAATTCTTACATAATCTCATTTTCTATTAAGAAAATAACGTTTGGATTTCAAAAAATACCGTTTTCTATTGAAATTTGAATCTTCTTCATCATCTTCACTACTGAAATCATCGTTAACATATTGATATAATTCACGTCGCGTAGGTAAAAAACGTCGTTTAGCCAAATAATGAATATCATCGCCAAAATTTTGGTCTTCATTTAATTGCTATTTATTTAATTAATAAAGTACAGAATACAATAAGCATAAGAAGATATATAATACTTACAGGAAAACGATCGGGATAAGCAACATCGATAGCTGAACCAGCACGTATACCGATGAGCAAAGTGAATAAGAGGACAAGACCAAGACTAATAAGAATTTTATCCATGGCCAAAGACATGATAGCTAAATAAACAAAACCATAAAAAATAATATTTGATTCTTTTATTTTTTTTTGTCTTATGCTCAAAGTTTTTTTTGTTTTGTTTTATGATATAACACATACTTCACTGTTATCACTTATCAGTTAAATAATTTTATATTCTATAATTTTCTAAGTGACTTTTTATATGGAAGCTATATTTTTATTTTTCTCTTTCTCTTCCTTTTTCTCATCTATTATATTTTAGTAACTAAATTGTTCTTATTAATGAAACATCAACGTGTAATATATGTATGCCAGCTACCCAAGTAGAGTAGGTGTGTAGGCGATCGGATGAATTTACCTCAGTAAATTGATGAGACTGTTACTACTCCTTTTGTTACAAACGTGTGATTAGTCAAGTAGTTAGGTTTTTTTTCTTTCGTGTTAGATGATGGACTACTCGTCTGTGTTGATGGTTGTATGATGACTCCTACATAAGTATGATTATTACTGGAATTTTTTCTCTTTCTTCGATCTAAATAGCGGAAATAAACTTGAAAATGACTCTTATTATCAATCTCTTCAATTCATATGTTATATATGATCGATGAAAAGTAGTGACGAGGGACAGATTTATCGGTTACGCTAATATATATTTTAGTTTTCATCTAATGCTTAAAGAAAAGTGCAATCAAACTACGGAAACTATTGCAACGTCAACTTCAAGAAATTCTAAATTTAAGCAGCAAAACATTTCATCTTAACTTATAGATGACTCAATCTAGACCGTCTGTTAATTAATGTCGACAAAAGAATATTGTGATGTTTTAAAGTTGATCTTTTGTAATTTTGTTTTTAAATAATCAATTTATTTTTGTAAAGCATGAACTGAATAGAATATCAATGTTTGCTTTTATATTGCATTTCAATATCTATACAAGATTGTACATGCAAAAATTAACGCATTCGTTATTTTCATTTACAGAAAGTTTTAGATAATCGAGTGGAAAATCTTCAGTTTATATTTTATAGCAAAGAAAATTATACATCAATTTCAAGAGTCTTTTTTTGTTGACGTGATAAATCTATTTTGCTTTACATGAATAACGAACTATTCAGGATTCGCATTGTACTTGATGATTTCAGTTACTATATTCCATTTTTGAACTGACTCGATAAGATATTCGAAATTAAAAATAACAATAATTAAAACAAATGAGACATTTTAGTAAAGTTTTTCTTTTATTTCAACGCTTCGTCTAAATTAGTTGTGTTCATGATTCTGATATATCTATATTAATTAAGAAAGTGCTACTCAAATAGATCACATGACACTAATATTTCATTGTTCGAGATCCTTAAAAAACGAACATCTATATATTTCTTATATTTTTGCGTTACTCAATAGTTTTATGCTAATTTTTTTATTTGAATAAAGGCAATCAGAGTTAATTTAAAAAATAATTCATTTGCATATACCCAAAGTGTTTTACTGTTAAATACGACAGTTTATTTTTTAATAAATTTTTGTATTCGAAGATTAATGATGTGAACAAGTCTATATTACATAATATGTTCAATCTAAATAAATAAGAAGTACTTTTTAAGAAATGATGAAGAAATCGACGAGGTTATGCGTAACATTTATTTTGGCTGAAAGATAAGCTGAAATTTCTGTTAATTTGCGTTTAATTATTTCTAACTCTCAAATTTAATATTTGCAAATGTTTATTTTCCATTTGTTCAGAACATCAAACAAGAAAAGAACACTCGGAAGCAAGATCATTTAGAACAGTTGTATTTCTGTTAATACTCACTTTTAATCTTTGGAACATAGGATAAATAAAATGAAAAATTAGTGGTATTAATTATTTTATAACATTTCTAGATAATTATTTGAGATATTCTTTGAGTAATGTTTTTTTTTATAAACATAGAATTTCAAATAATCGAAATAAATAAACAAACAAGATTGAATTAGTTATCATAATGATTAAGTCGTGATAAAATACAACTCATCTAGAAATATTTTGACGAATAACGATGAATATCGACCTTGATCATTTCAGTTTAAGATCTATTAGCCCTTTATAAATATGTGCTCTATTATTTTCTGAATTACTTAAGAACACAAGTTGCTGCAGATCTATGATTTTCAACATTCGATAGAGCAAAATACAAGATGTGAACCTACGTAAAAATGGATGAATCAGTTTATAAACGAACCTGATACTTGGATCTTTAAATGTGACTGAAAATTGTAGTAAAATATCTCTATTCTTGATATTAAACTTCGAATGATAACTGATTCAAACGTCAGATGGAACATAACCAGTAATTCTGCATCGGTTGAACTTAACAAGATAAAATATTGAAATAATTCTGTTTAAAAGAGACAGATTCCTTGTGATACAAAGGAAATTGTGGATTTTTATATCTTGGAAGTTTTTTTTTCGTTAAAATAGCGAACGTGTAACTCATTTAAAGGATTGATTTTTTCATAGATTCCTGTCGTCCTTCATTCCCCTCCGCATCCTTCCTGTTGATGAAAACCTAAAGTCTCGAACTACTTACATTACGAAATAATTCAAAAGAGAAACAACGAAGCATATCAAACTTCTAATGGATAGTAGTTTTTTCTTGAACTCCGTGGATTTTTTTAACGCTATTGAAAATGACAAATAGCTTTATACTTTTATGCGTTTCTTTATTTATTCATGTATAACAATACATAAAGTCGTATGAAAAACAAGATAGTTGTTCAAAAGGCACCCATATTAATTAAATCCTGATTCTATCAAAAAACGCTTCAACTATATGATATCTAATTCACTTTTCATTTTGAAATTCATTGTCTAGAAAAACTAAACACGCACAAACAAGTACACACGTTATACAAAAGTAATAATACTAAATAGGAACATTTGAATCTGTATAAGTAACATGAATACAATAAGCATCTTCATTCGTATCTTGTTCATTATTAATTAAAATAATAATATCTGTAACAGGTGTAACATTAAACGCAGGTAATAATGTAAAGCTAATAAATTTCTTTTCGTTTGCTTGAAAATCAACTTTTTGATGTTGCAATTGAAGTAATTCAGGATGACTGCTTGTGAAAAAGAATGTTTTTCGAACAGCATATGGATTTGTATATGATATACGTTTACTAACTGGTTGGCTTTGCCCAAAAGGTAACGTATGAGCTAGAAGAATAATAAAAAAAAACTATTTTACTGTTTTTTTTTTCAATAATTTATTACCGAATTGTTTTGATATAACAGGCATACGTGTATCAACTCGTATCATCCATGTATCAACAATTTGATGATTTTCTACATCAACTGCATTAATACAATAAGTACGTAGACCTGCACGTGATGGTCGTACAAGTACGTGGACTTCATGAAGGCCATTAGCTGCTAGAGAAAAAGCATTGCTTGGTGATACAATTAATTCATCAGGTGCATTGCCAAAACATTGAACCAAACGCGATGAACGTGTACCTCTATTTTGTATTCATTTTTATATTTTAATCAAGAAAAATCAAATCGAATCATATCTACCGAAGAAGAAGAGTAGAAGAAGTTGTCTGATATTGTATACAAGTCAGATCTAAACGTTTAACAGCATGAATTTGAAATTGCCATACATTAATAGGTCTGTGAAGAAAACCATCAGCGTACATAAATACTAAGAAACTGGTCACTGTTGGTGCATTATGAGTAGCAGCCTAGAATAAATTAAGTTTTTTGTTTTACTTCAAAAAACAAAGTTTCAAATACTTTAATTAACATGTCACATGGTTGATTAATAGGTACAGGTTTAACTTCACAAACAATATTCAAATCACTTGCACGAGCAAATACTTGATGAACTTGTTCAGGTAAACCACTTGTAAGTGATTCTGAATACAATAAAAGAAACAAATAGTCAATTGATTATTAAACTAAAAGACAAAAAACAACCTGTTGTAACTGCTCGACGTGGATTTGGTATACGAAATACTCGCTTTAATAATGTATTTTCTCCATTAATACAACGAATTGTTTGATCAACAATAGGGGATATATATTCAACATTAATGCATAAAATACCTATTGGTGTGCCATCTTCTGCTTGAAATATTGCCTAAGATTTAGAGAAATAAAAGCGCTGAGTAGAATCATTAGAAAATTAAAATATGTTAAGCAATCGATTTGGTTTTTTCTTTTTCAAAATCAGAATTTTAGTAACATGCTCTGCAGTTCGTCACTTGATAACTGTTGTGGATATAAAATATGGATTAAAACAAGATGTTAATTGTAGCAGAGTAAAATAATTATAGAAAGAAGGCGAAGGATGATGTTTGATGAAAAACGTCGAATAGAAAGATACATACAAATTAATTAAATTTTTCTGATTCTGTCAAATCTATTTAACTATTTAGTATCTAGGCAGATATAAAATAAGTAAATTAAATAGTTCAATATAATTGCGACGATGAACAAAGTATTCCCACTGTTTCTCTTTATTAGTTATTTCAATCGAAACTTCACAAATTGCATTGTCCACGACAAAGGTGAAAGTGCGCCTTCTATCATCATAGTCATATCGAACTATTGAGTTTGCTTTCTCAAGAAATGAGTATTAACGCTAAAAAACTATACTAATCCATCAAAAAGCAATCATTGGTGACACAATTGATATAAGTAATCTGAAGGTTTTCTCTTCATATGACGCTTTTCCACTTAACCTACAATTGTATTTCACAATAATTCTGATCTGTGAGACTATTTCGAACATTCTCAATATCTGTACCAGTGGTTCCTTTTCAGATTCTGTTTCACACAATGAATTATTCTTCATAAATATAGAACGAAACAAACTTTAATTTGTTTTGATTTAATTTTTTCATTATAGCTTTTTTCCACAACTGCATATGTTTGTTCTAGTGAAAATGGATTTGATGATGTTTTATGTTCTGATGTTGGTAATTTTGCAAGAAATGTTTGTAATTTAAATGGTATATGTACTGATTCTTTAGCACGCATAAATATTTGAGGATATTTTAAACCACTTTGATCGATAATTCCTGCTTGATTTGTAAACATATTTTCTTCTGTATCAGAAAAAACTTCAAATAAAGTTTTTAAACGACGCCATTCACGAGCATCCGTAACAACACTAACAAAATAATGTCTTTTAAAATGATAAATAAGAAAAAAAAAATGATACTGATACCTTAATTCATCATCATCGCATGCAATACTAATAGAATGTTGTTCCGGATATGGATTTTGAAGATTATATTCAAAAAATTCTACGCAACCAGGCATTAAACGTACATTTACTTCTCGAGTAATAAAATTCATTAAATGATGAGCGATATCTTCATGTTTTGTTTGTTGACGATACATTGATATTGTACGTAGATCATTTTCACGTAATTCGCGAATTTTTCTATTTGTCATTGGTAATGATGCTGACACCTCGTCATTATTTGTTTCAGCTGCACGCTTACGTACTGCTTCCATTCGTGATAATTTTCGTTGGTGGTCAGATTCTTGTGCTTGTTTGTCCTAGAATTAATTCATATAATGATGTTGAATATTAATCGAATATATATTCTATTACCACACTATGTAATACAGAATTTATATTTGGATATGAATCAACAATGCGATGTGCACGTGTTAAACGATATTCTTTAACACCTGTTGTTGTTATTTCACCTGCACGTTGTTGAACAATGTCAAAAGGTGGCGTCGATGATATTATTCGACTTGTTGGTAATAATCGTAATGCATCCGAACCTATGGAATATTTTTAAATATAATATAAATAATTTTTGCCAAGATTTACTGTTAATTTTTTCAATTGAAGGTTGTTCTGATCCTACTGATCCAATATTGCCAATACGCATTATCAATTTACCAACAGTTTTTAATTTTTCACCAATTAATGAAAATTGTTGATCACTCGACTATAAAAATAACTATTACATAAGAATATGTACGTATATAGATATAATCTACATACTTGATAATATTGATTTTCCATAACAGGTGCTTCATTACCCTCGATTGGTACAGTTGCAAATACATCAAGTTCTACTAATGCTTGTACACCTGGACGACCATCACGAAGTAAATACTGAATAAAAATTGTTCTCTAATTCAGCTTTAAACTCAATTTTACATACTCTCAGTTCAAGTGCACACATTCCAACAGGAAAAAGTCCATCACCATCCCAAATTTCAATATAAAGTGTATGAGTATTGAGATATTCAAAAAATTGTCGTTGCTCAACGGAACCAAGAAAACTACCATCAACTTGGAATTTAACCTATATAAATCAATATTCATACTGAGAAAAATATTTTTATACATACAGGTAAGCTAGGTAAACCTGATGTCTTCGTACTATCATCTTTTAGACGCCATAGAATGTATGGTTCAACATTTGGATCATTTGAAATAGTATCATGCATACGTTCGAGCATTACTCTATCAAAATATAAATTTTATCGAATCATTAATATTCAAATTTTCAAACCTGCTTGTTGTTGTTTCAGGAAAACGAAAAAATTTGAAAGTAAAAAAAAGAGTTTTTGGATAAGTTGATTTTGATGACATGCTAGCTCGAGTCATTCTTAAATTAAATATAATTTAGAACAAAAACAAAATGACCGTAGTTGAAAAACAGATATCTACTTGAAATAGGCTAGAAAATGTAAATTAATTTGATTACAATTCATTGGATCAGCCATTTCTGTTTGTATATCAAGAAAACGAGCTTGTCTTATATCAATAATTTCAGCTTCTTTATCATTAACTGTTTTAATCGTTGGAAAGCCTTGACCTTGAAGTCGAGAATAAGCAGCACGTGATAATGTATGAGCACTAAATAAAATTTCGTATTAAAATTCTATATGTATGAATTTATTTACAATGTCATTTGACTAGCTAAAGCAGACATTGGTGAATATGCTGGATAGATTCCATCCGCTTGCCATGGCACTAGATTCTATAAGGATAACAGCCAAAAGATATGTTACAAAATGATCATTTTCATATTACTTACAGCTTGATGATAGATAGGTGGTTGTATAGCTGAAGGAATTGTCTGAGATGGCACTGTTGAAAAAAGAAAATTGCAATTAGTAATACATGAGAAATTGATTTTCTTGTTATTTTACATGTTCTTTGCAAAAAATCATAATTAGTTGGTGTTTTTATATTTGCATTAGTTGGAATTAAAGCACTAAAAGAAATTGATAAATATGTAAAAATATAAATTAATTGTATAAAATAATTACTGTTGAATAGTAGGTGTTAAAACCTCTGATTTAGCTGTAACTGTTTGATATCGTAAAGGGGGCTGTCATTTAAATTGAATTAAAATTTTTGTTCTTAAATTATTCAAAAGATAATACGTATTTACCTCGGTATCAAATCTATAATTAAAACGTAATGTTTCTTGAACAATATCAGGTGCATTAAGTAAAATAGTTGTTGATGGTTTGTATACGAAAAGTTCATCACTTGGTAATATTTCACCACCAGACATGATCAAAGCAACTTGTTTATCTTTGCCTGGAAACCAAGCTGTCCAACGAATAGTAAATGTTACTTTAGTACTTTCAGCAGGTTCATTCTAAACAACACTAAAGTGTTTCACAATTAAATAAATTAAATAATAAGATACTTGTTTTGAAGGCACACCAAGAGGTATGGAAACCATATATTCAAGAACAAATACAATAGCATTTAAATCATCAATAGGAACATCATCAAGTCGGATTGGATTTCTTAAATAGAGTTTTTTTCGATCGTCTGTTCTACTAATAAGATCACAAGTTTTATCTAACTTTTATAAAACAAGAAACAAAAGAATAATTTAATATTACAAACCTTTCAGCAGATACAGTTCTTCGTCGTTGTGTTTGTCTAAAGCTTAATTTTCTTGATAACGATGACATTCCAGTATCTTCTTGTTCAGCTGTGAGATAAAAAACAAGTGGATCTTGAACATAACATTGTCCATTATGTATACCCACCTAAATAAAAAAGTAAAATTTCTTTTTCAAATTTATATAAAGCATAAAACATCTTACACGTAAACGTCGTTCAACAATAGAGACTTTACTATATGTTTCATGAACTATTGCTGCTACAGTAGTTTGTGATATTTTTTTCTTTTCCATTTGATCTTTATGGATTAATCGACAAAGTTCTTCTTCAAACAAATTTATTGATGGTTCCATATCAATTTCAATCTGTTCGATGAGAATATTTTTTCGATTTGCTTGCAAAATGGGTTTTCTTAATGTATCTTCATCTAATTATATATAAAATAAAATAATAGATTTAAAAAGAAAAATCCTATCTAAATACTTGGATCACCAGAATAATGAATACCACCAATATTAACATTTCGTCCATAAAGAGTACATTCAGATAAATATTGTATTACAGAAAAAAGAGGTTCATGATATTTAATTTCAACAAATAAACCAGCAGAAGCAACTTGTGAAACTTTCTGGCATGCTATAAAATAAAAAAAAAATTTCACTTTTGAACAAAATTGTTGAGTAATCCAAACGTACTTTCAAATGGTTCATTGAGATATATAAGAGCGCGAGGTGAACCTTGATAGAGTAGTTGACTGAAAACAAATCATATTGGTATATATATTTTTTCATATAATGTAGAATTCGATAGTATTATTACCGATTACTTATTGCTTTAGTAATATCATCATCTTCAGTCCATGGTTTTAATTTAATGATTGTCCAACCACCTACAAGCTCAAGTCGATCTTCTGATTCTTCTCCACTACGAAATATTGATTGAACAATCAAACAATTTTGATCATTTTTCAATGGTATATGACAATACAATGGCTGAAAAAAGTCTTTTGTTACATATACAAAAATATCAATTATAATTTACTTCATTAAGATTGACTCGAAAAAATCCATCTATAGCAACTTTGCCTCTGTGCCAAGCACTAAACCATGTTTGACCATAAAATCGTTTATACAAATTATCAAATAATGTTGCAGTAAATTGCACTTCATATGGAGTAGCAAGTGACTAAAATAAATCAACTAAGCAAAATCATACATATAATAGAAGACATACGGAAGAAACAGATGATGGTAAAATTTCAAGCGATTTAATTAGTATTCGAAACGGAACAATATTGCTAGTATTGGCAGTATTACTACCAGCGCCTTTGACATCTGAAAGTGATTTTTGAGCATCGATCTCAGCTGGATGAGGTACATCAAGAGAACTTTGGATAGCACGGTCAAGCCAGTTGTTCACTGCTTCCATCATTTTGATAGAATCGTGAAATGGAAACTAAGCAACAACAGGATAGAAACATTATGTGTTCACTTAGTGATCATTAACAACGTTTATGACTTTAAAAAACAAATAAATATTTGCTTCTCCTATAATTGAGTTGTTAATTTATTAGATTTTTTATTTAAAATTATTATACATTCATTTTTTTAATTCAAAATTTATTGGTTGGACAGATGGCGTAAATAGTCGGCTTACGATATTAGATAAGAATACTTTATAATCTATCACGGACTTACCAGTTATTATAACATTTGATATTACTGACATTCTCTGTTTTCAAAGAAATCTGACACATTTTTATTATGGAGATTCAATATCTATTTAGAGTTGGCTAAACTATACATACACTATTTTAGATATACTGGTTTATTTACATAATAAAGGAAAAATTATGTTGAGTTCACTTTTACAATAGACTATCTAGATGTTAGCTGATAATAACATGAAAAACAAATACACAATACTAGGAGGAGCTACTTTGGTAAAACAAGAACTTTTGCAACAAATTGTCCTAAGTTCGTTTTTAATATATTATTATCAACTTGATATTCATTCTTTGATAATCAATCAATCCATTCTCCATTTTGAGGAATATTATTAATTTCATAATCGTTTTTTTCTTCAGTAAAAAAATATGTAAAATAACAACTAATTCTTGACTTCTTGCATAGACAAGAACACCATTATCATGATGCTCATATATAAAATTCACGACTTTTTCTATTAGTTCTCCACGTTTTTTTCGTAATTCTATAAGTTGTTTCCATGTATCAAATAAACAACGATTTCGATCATTTGTTAATAAATCCCATTGCATAGGAAATTTTTTTTATTTTGATCTTCATTGCCCCACTGTCTTGCATCACCTAATTCTTCTCCTTGAAAAATAAAAGGTATACCAGCCGAAGTGAAGAGAATAATCATAGCAAGTCGCATACATATAAATGCGTTATCATCAAATAAATTTTCCATTTTTACCAACTAGAAAAAGCAAACGTTCATTATCATGACATGATAAATAATTAATAAAATCAGGTGCACTTATTATATATTTAATAAGATCAAGTTCAAATTTGTTTTGATCCACTAGATTATTAGCAATAAGAGATTATTCAATAAAGCATGTCCAGATAAAGGAGCAAGAGGGCAGGGCAACATCAAAACTGAACACAGGGGAAGAGAAATCAAACATTTCGGAACGTCCAGACATTTACTATAAATATTTTCCCGTTTTTTTTGTCGTACAGCTTTCTGCAGTATTTTGAAGCTTAATTTGTCTTGAAAAGGATTTTTAAATACGAAATGAATTGAATGTGAATCAGTTAAATATGAATGTGTTGTTGAAATAACTGAAGATTATACTACATCGGCAGATAATTATTTTGTGAAACAGTAATATGAAGGTTGTTAGGTTTTCAAGTGTCATTAATATAGAACTTCATTTTTTTTTGTTTTTACTATTTTTTGTTCATTAAAATGGAATGCAATTAAAAAACAAAAATTTTGCCATAGGTTAGATTATTGTTTGTTGTGTATAAAATTTTATTTTTGTCTTTTTTTATATTCATATATATTTATTTAATGAATTGTTGCTAGATGACAAGAAGCAGTAGATTTTCAACAAGCTAGCTCTTTCTCTAAGTTTTGCTTTTGTATTGAACGTCGCGGAGTGAAGAGAAGGAAGACTCAATGAAACTGGACAAATCTGGACAGATGGGAGGAGAGATTTAGAAAATGCGATTTTTATTTGGACGCTCTTTAAGGATGACTCTTAACACTATGAAATGAAGCAGACCAACATACATCAACAGGGCCACCATTTGGCTTAAGAATTGCTGTAGTTTCTGGAATATATTCAACAGCAGTATAAAATGGTTGAGAACCACGAACAGACCGAGCAAGATTATCTAGTTCACGAAGAATATCATAATTGTCCATTTCTTTGGCTGAAAAAACCAACAAGAAAATAGGAAACATTACAAAAGAAAACAATTTGATTATTTTTACCAGCATCAAAACGAATACCATCTAAGTAAAATTCACTTATCCAATAACGTACAACATCAGTTGCAAACTTCCATGCTGGTTTTAAGTTCTGTTGTTCATCATAATACTCAAAATTAAGTTCAGGACCCCAATAGTATGGATCTATGTACACAAAAAAATGTTATATGTCAAAGGAGGATATATATATTCCTATATACCATCTGGATTATATTTTCCTTTGTAATACTAAAATAAACATATAATTTAAATTAAACAAAATAAAATAAAACAACTTACCCAATAATCATGATCAATCATTGCTAGAGGACAATCTGTAACCGTATGATTGAATACTGCATCAATAATAATACGAATTTTTCGTTGATGACATTCATCAACAAGTTGTTTAAAATCTGCACTTGAATCATAGGTTACTTTTAATGCAAGAAAATCCCTTGGCAAATAACCCCAATCATGATTCATACCCATTGATTCTACAGTTAAAAAATATAATGGAATAAAAGAATTTCACCTTGAATTGGTAATAATTCAATAGCATTACAACCTAAATCACTGAGATAATCCAGTTTTTCAGTAACTCCAGAAAATTGTTCATTGTCAGCAAAATCAGCGATGTATATTTCATAAATAATTAAATCTTTATTATCTAGTACTTTGACATCATCATGTTTTCATGAATATTCATCTAATATTTTTTTTCCATTTTTTATAGTTATTATGCCTGTACTTCTTGTTGGATCGTATTTAGTAACGTATGGATCAGTAACATCTATCCAAATATCTTCATTATGATGTCGAATATGAAATTTATATTCATGATCGCCATCAGAAATTTCTGCCGAACAATGAAATGTTCCATGTTCAAAGGACATTGGAATATCTTTCCGTTCAGAAAACGAACCGATTAAAGTAGCTTCAGCAATTGTAGGTGCAAATAGGGTGAAGTCAATCAACGACATATTTACAGAAATGAACTAGAAATATCGAATTATTTTTGGTTTCTATTACCGTACGTATTTTTTTTCTTTCTGCTCGTTCTTATGCTTTAGCGAGTCATGGCAAGAGATAGACAACGGGATTGGCTAGAGTTAAATAGTATCCCGGATAGGTCAAAAATTACATTGTTTATGCATGTGTCTACTGCTCTCAGTTTTTATTGATGACCAGAGACGAATAGAACTGTATCAATAGTTAAACTTGTCGTTTGTTTATTTCAACGTAGTTAAAAAAGAAACACACGGATAACAAGAAAAACACAATAACGGGGTTAGAAAAAAGAAGAAAACAAGTGAAGGTTGTTCTTTTGCTTTTCTTTGTGTGTGAAAGTAAGACCTTAAAACACACGCTGTTTTCAATTTCTCATATGTCAAACTACAAACACACATGTCACTATTTAATAGTTCAATAAAGAGATTATTGTCCACCAGGACGTAATGATGATAAACCAGCACGAAGAATTTCATCAACAAGAATTAAATTTGTTGCAATTGATGTACTTGAATGAATCAATTGTTTTTTAACACGATAATTATCATAAATACCTAATGATTTTGGTTCCATGGCTTCACCTGATAAAAATAAAATTCTTAATCTTTAGTTTTTTCTATTATTCAAAAGTAATACACATACCTGTCGTAATATCAATGCCTACAGGTATTTTTGATGTTGCATATTCATGTTGAAGTTTAACTATTGTTTCTTGTTGATCATGTCCTGCATTTTGAGCTATAGCTTTCGGAATAATTAATAATGCTTCAGCAAATGCTTGAACACCTAAACGTGCTCGTCCTTTAACTTGTTGTTTATATTGAGTAAGTGCTTGATGAGCAACTATCTCAAAAGCACCACCACCAGGTATAACACAACCTAAATGAAAAACAATTCTTAATATCAATTAAGGATAACTAAGTAAAACTAACCATCTTCAAGTGCATTTGTCACTGAACGAAGACCATCACGAAGAGCATCTTTAAGTTGATTTAATATGTATTTTGTTGAACCTTTGAGTAAAACAGTTACTGATTTAGGATTTTTACAACCTTCAACAAATGTAAATTTTTCTTCGCCCTAAAAGAACAAGAAATGTGAAATAATTAAATTAATGAAAATAATATACAAACCAAAACATGTTCATAAACATCTTCAGCAAAGCCAAGACACTCTTTTGTAAGACCTTCAACCGAACTAATACATAAAAACTTATTTATTATCATTTTTAATATCTGACATTACTTACTTCATAGCTTCTCCACCACATGCTAAAGTTAAGCGTTCCATATTTCGACGTTTAGCACGTCTCAATGCTAAAATTCCTTCTTTAGCCAAAACATCAAGTGATAATGGATCAATGCCTTTTTGATTAATGACAACAAATGTTTTATCTTTATCATCAGCCGAACAAACTTGTCGCTTAAGTTCAACTATTTTGTGTACACGATCATCAATAAATTTACGTTCTGATGTAACAAGACGATCACGTTCTTCAGCATTTTTATAAAAAAAGCCAGCATTAACTTCTCTGAAAATAAAAAACAGAAAACGAAAAAATTTAAATGTATTATTTCTTTAATAAAAGAAATTCTTTACGTTTTTTCATATTCAAGTGAAACATTACAAGTTAAAATATAAGCATTTTTAAGTGCTTTTGGCATTGATGGATGACGACCACCATGATCAAGTACAATACCACGTACAAGTCGAGAATCAGCTTCTGTTCGATGTTGCATTTCCATAATTTCAACCATATTTAAATCAGTTGGTTTGCCTGGTTCATTAATAGCTAATATAGCATCAACAACAATCTACAGATTAAAAATAACGTATGAATACAAAAAAAAACTAAACGAATGAATACGAACATCAGTGAGAATATCAGCATTTTCCATTGATAATTTTGTACGTAATGAAGTACGGGCTATTTGAATAAGTGTTTCACGATCTTGTGTTATAGGTACTTTAAGTGTATCAAGTACTTGTAATGCTTCTTTTTTTGCTAATTCAAAACCTTCTGCAACAATGCGTGGATGAAGACCCTATCAAGATATGTTAAATAAATTTATTACTCTTGCTTTTTTTTATTATTTGCTTACCTCGGAAATATAAAGATCAGCCTGTTTAAGAAGTTCACCAATTAATAATACAATGGAAGTTGTACCATCACCAGTTATATCATCCTGGGCTGTTGCTGCACGAGCAATTAATGATGCAGTTGGATGTTGAACTTGCTATATATATATATATATACATAATATTTATAAATTAAATAACCAAGAAAAGATTAAGACAAACCATTTCATGAAGAAGTGTATTGCCATCTTTTGTTATTTTGATATCACCAGCACCCGATACAAGCCTAAAATATCAATAAATGAAAACTGAATAAAACAATGTAATTGTACATACATTTTCATGGTTCCTTTTGGACCTAAATTAGTTTTAAGCATTTCAGCAAGACCACGAGCAGCTGAAATATTAATTGCTAATGCTTGAGCTTGTCGAGCACTTTCAGCTTTTGGATTTAATGTTGTAATAGCTGACATGATTGAGTGTTTTTCTGCTCACTGATTTTTATAATCTGAAAAAGAACATAAATCATTTATGAAATATTCGAAGAATCTGGCAAAGTAAATTCGTTTCTTTCATTTTAATAATACACTTATAATCATGATGATAAGATTTTTAAAAACAACCGGTTTATAACTGACTAATCCATATCGTTTAATTAATAAACAAAAATATCTGTTTGACTATTGTTCATTATGCTGAATTAGACGGTGGAATAAGTGCAACATTTTTTGAGTCATCTTCGATTACTATTAAGATAGATGATGGAATTGATGAACGCTAAAAGAAAATGTTTTATGCAAAGGAACAAATCAATTATCTTAAAAGTTACTTGAGCAATTGGCATAGAACATAAATAACGTACAAGACCATCACGCAGTTCCGATGTTATTTGCAAGATATGTTTAAGTTGTGAAGGTGGTAATTGAAGAAGTATTGGAAATGAATGTGGTCGAGTTTTTTCACAACATTTTATAAAACCTTCCCATATGCGAGCTTGTTTCCATGCCTAAAAAACATTTCAGATGATAACTATATTATTTAAACTCGATTATCATTTGAATGAAGCTCGAACAGAGAAGTTGGTTCACTGAACAAGTACGAAAATGGAAGAACACGATCCTATACAATGTTTGTTACTTCTAAGTCTGACGTTTACATAAAGAAAATCATAATAAATTTGAATCGATTTCAAATATATTACTTCAAATGAGATGTAAGAGATAATGAGTTTGAACCAACTATTGCCATGTAAGGAAACTATCAACTATTCATGATCGTTTTGAACATTTGATCTATATAAACTATGTAGAAACTATTCTGAGTGTTTGAGACTCAATTATAGTGAATTTAAGTTAAGCAAGATGTAAATAAAATATCATGTGTATAGAGTCTTTGCGATATCATTTGTCATTCGATAATTGAGTCATACATGACCTTATCAGTAAACTGTCAACTGTAATTATTGCAGCTCTCGTTTTAAGAGGTCCTAAACAAAATCAAATCTTAAAAAATCGATTTTAAATGTACATCCGTCAAGTCTTCATCGATCTCAGTAGATGTTTTCCTATCTCAAAAGGATGTTCTGATAGAGTAAATGAATGGCTGACTTAAATCGTAGCTAAGAGGTTGATAAGAAGAAAAAAAGTTTTTGGTGGCAATTCAGCGACTGAAAAATTTAAGATTGACTCCAATTAGGCATCTTCATAAGAAAATTTACTTGTTTCGTTATAAGTCGTTGTAAAATAATCATAATAAAATTAGCCATTTTTGGATAAAGACTAAATGTTTGTAAAACTGTTCGCATAAATAAAATAGGAATTGGACTCATTTCAACAAGTTGTTGTAGAACAACAGCAAGAATATCATCAGTATATATTGATCGTTCATTAAAACATACTGATGTGGCTATAAAAAATATTGATCAGATGAGAAATAAAACGTACACATAATTTTACCATTTATTATTGTTCTTAATTCACATTCTTCAAGTGAAATTCGATGAAGAGCAATTAATAATTCTGATGGTGATAGTAAACTTGTCTGTGAGGTTCTAGATGAGTCTAGAAAGAAATGAGATTTTTAAGGAAACAATATTAGAGGTTCCATCACATCAGTCTATTGCAACAAGTGAAATAAGAGAAATCCATTTCGAAAAAAGAATTGCTTCTTTTATAAAATTGATGATGATGATAATGATACTATAATAGACTTATTCGTTTCTGAATTCGACTCACGAATACAACTCCTTCAGCTTATTTGAACAAGATTTTTTTTTCTTGTCATTTGAATTTTTCCATAATACTTCATCTCGAGCACGACACTTTCTTATTGTTCATATGCTATACATGCTGACAAAATTATCATCTATGTTAATCTCTTAGAATTTTATATGACGAAGAAAAAAACTTGCTTCTGACACAACAGATCATTCAAACCTAAAAGACGATTAAAAACTTCTTTAACCACTGGTGGTGACAATTTTATGAATTTTGGTAATGCATTTATAATTTCACTCTAGAAAAATAATGTTTACTTAAAAAACGTGTTTTTTATTCTAGTAAAAACATACCTTTTCCAAGCCAGTTAGAACTGGAATGAGTAAACGAACATCTGATATACGTTTATAATATAAATCTCGTATTATTTCAACAATTTCATGTGATGGTGGCACTATTAAAGAAAAACTGCATGAAAAAAAAAACCAAGAGATTCATTAATTTTACTTTGTTGAGTAAGAATATGAATAATGCGTGTAATCAATGCTTCGGTACCATGAGGACAATTTTTAACTAGTTCTAATAGTTCTGGACTAGTCATACCCATATCACGTATCTGTGTAAAATAATAATAAATTCACCGAATATTGAAATACAAGAAAAAACTGACTGGAACTTCCAAAATTTGAAGAATTACTCGTTTAATATCTTTATCAACTACCGTATAAATATTTGTCAATCTACACAGAGCAACAAAAAAAGCTGTGAAACACTGAATACCAAAAGACAAAAGTCTTACGATTGAATTAAATAATGATTCGATGACATTAAACTAAGATATAATGAAAGACAAAGATGAATAGAATCTTCTGTCCAAACATCTCTTGATACTAAAAATAAGAAAAAAAAATAATTTCTAGGTTTCTGGAGAAAGCTTATCAGAAAAATTTGAAATTTTCAGAAAGGTAGATCCTGACGAGTAGGACAAAAGTTATCATAGACTCAAAAGTTCCCAGATGCTATCTTTCATAAGATACTGGGATCTCAATCGCCCCAATTTTCGTTCTTTTTTTCTAAGGTGTTATGTTCAATCAAGCTCAAAACGTTTTTTTTACTGGCACTAGACGATGTTTTTAGCGAGTATTCTTTTTTTTTTCTTTGAATAAAAAAGCCAATTTATCAAAGGTATCCTGAAACAGTATGTTTTTTTTGGAATCGAACTTTCTTGTTTTACGAGATATCATAAATCAGCACAAGAATATTTTTCGAAAAACCAACATACCTATCTCGATTGGTGTATAATACATGTGAAAAAACTTTCAGCTGGATCGAACGTACTAAGCCAGAGAAACGAGGACATTTTGCACTATTTTTCTCATGAGCAAATTGGTTTGAGAAAAACGCGAAAAAATCTACACTTCTTGCTATTTCCGTTACATAAATTTGATTTTTTAATAACAAAAGCTTTGAGTCACAGAAGGGAAAGTGATACTCTTAAAATTATTTCTCACTTGTTGATGATTTTTTATCGTCACAAAATAGTATTTCTGGTGGCCGTGACGTTCGTAAATATGGTAAATATTTCAAAGCGTATTCCTAAAAATAAAATACTTCAATGCCAGGTATATTTATAAAAAAATAAATTTTACTTCGATTGATTGTTGAAATTCTTTCTTTTCATACAACTTTTTTATAATATGTATAGCATTATTTCTAACAGAAATATTTTCATTATGAGTAAAATTAAGTAATATATTCAAACATTTGTCACGCATTATTATTCGATAAAAAATAAGATTACTTAATAGATTCATACCCCGATAAGAACAATTCTTTAATGAAATAAAGATTTTATTTTATTTAAAAGAAAAAGACATCTTCTTTTACTTCATCTTGGCAATATTGTTTGAGTACAGATAAAGCATTGTCTGTAATTAATGGTGCACTTCTAAGTAGACGAGAAAATAGCCTAAGAAACAAAAGATTATAAAATAAATCATAAAATTATTTCTATTTTATTTACTCATCACATTTTTCTTGTAAGTATTCAAGTAATCGACATAAGATATTATCATATTTGGAAAAATCTTTTTTTTTATTTGGCGTTAAATAGCCATTAGCATAGACATATTCTTGATAAAGCCATGAAAATGCAAGATCATATCGTTTGTGTACATCAGTAAAAATGTACTCTTCATAAGCTAATATTCGAGTTTAATTATTTATTTAATTTTAAAAAGAAGGTAAATTATATAAATCTTACTATTATGAAAACTTCGTTCGAATAAACAAACTAATGAAGTCATCATTTTTTGTCGTACATGTTCAACACCAGCCCTTTCACAGATATCTAATTAGAAATAAGTCAATTCATGTATTATGGACAAAAATATGGAAACAAACCTTCAGCATGAAGCATTCGATGAAATGAATCAAGTGACATACGTTGCATTTCATCATATTCAAGTGATTTAATTACATTAGATAATTTAAATGATTTCGTTTTTTTCTGTTGAATACTTGAGATCTTTATCAAGTCTGTACATATTGACAGAGTTTCTTTAGTTGATGCTAAATGTGTTTTACTATCAAAAGCAGATGAAGTTACAAATAATCGATCATCATTTCGAACATTCGTTATATTTGATGTGACTTGTTCTTGTCCAATATTATTATTCATATTTGATTTAACATTCTAAAATATAATGTCGCTATAATAGTTTTTGTGAAGCACAATCTAAAAATGTTGATGTATATAGGGTAGAAATTTGCTTCCTTTCCTTGCAGGCTGTGACACATATCGTGACAAATTATCACAGACTGTGATAAGCATCTTGGCAATTAGAGCCCATCAGGTCCAAAGTTTTCGAATCCGGATCGGAATCAACTCGATAGGCTCTATCGGCAACTCTCTTCTCGAGAGTATGAATAACAGCGATATCGTGTTTCACATTTTAATCCCATATGGATTGAGCTAACAGCTTTTCTTCCGCTTTTTGTCGTTACTGGCTAAGATTTAATAAGTTCATAACCCGCTACAGTAAGCTGTACACTAAGTTAACCAGCTAAATGTTCAATTTCAATTGCAGTATCAACTTCTGCTATAGGTGCATAAATTGATTGAAAGGATAGAGGTATTTTTCTAGTAATGAACCGACTGATAAAATAACTAAATCGACAATATTTTTAACAGATAGTACTGTCACAAGATTAGCAAGTGTTAAATCAATTTTTTTTTATGTTGAAGATGAAATTGTGAATTTGAATTACTTACATCATTTGATAAGACTTCTTTTTTTATTAAATTGCTATTTATATTATCCTATTAATCATGAAATGAAAATAAATATAAGAAAACCAAAAATAATGTAGTTGACATACATTAATATTTTTCGGTTTTTTACTATTTTCATTTGTACTTGCAATTAACTTGCGCTTTGATTCTGATGTTGCTTTAGGTAAATGTTTGAGAATCTATGATAAAGAATTTAATTAAAAAGACAAAAATAGAAAAACTGTACTTCTGCTTGCGTAGCACCAAGATCAGTAAGAAAAGTTGTAATTTGTGGTTGTAAGTTATATACTGGTGAATATTTTAGAAGACTAAATAATTTCAATTTGATTATATTACGTAAACTAGTAACTTGAGAATCGATGAAAGTTGAAGATAAATTAACTTAAATATTTTTAAATATTAAAAACAAAAAAGATTAGATGATTAAATAAATAATTACCGTGTAATACTTTAAATATTTGTATAACTCGGCTTATATAGCCTGATCTTTGTCGAACAATATTAGCTATGGCTTCCACAGCTGCAATTAAATTGACACTAAAATAATGAATTAATGAAAATAAAAGAACAATGATTCATTATACCTAGATATATGTTGAGAAATAGTAAATTCAAATAATTTTTCTATCATTTCTTTTTCTTCTTGTTCTAGTTGAATTCGACATAAAATTTTATGATCATCTTGCGATAAATTTTTGGAAAAATCTTGTTCATATCGTGATAAAGTAAGTATTAACATTTCAATAAATTTAATAACTACTGTACAAAGTCTAGAATATGTTAATATAAAATAAATTATTTAAAGAAAATACTCAAATAACTAACCGATCATCATCTGAATTAAGCATAGATATAATATGAGTTTTTATATTAGTCATACATTGCCACATACTATGTATATGCTTATCGACTAATAGAGATTTTGATAACCACTAAATAGAAGAAAGATATGTCATTTATCAGTTTACATTTATGCTTACTGTTAAAGTCGATTTATAAATTGAAATCATACTCAGAATAAGTTTTTTTTGTACAAATATATTCTCATCATTAAGTAACAAATGAAGACTATCGATTACTTTAATAATAAGTTTCGGATCATGTTGACTAAAACAACAAAATAAGATCTTTATAATGATAAAATAGTATTATTTCAACTAACCAGGCTTCTTCAATAAATGATATTATTGTTTTTTTTACTTCTGAACTTTTATCTGTTTGAAAATTCAATACTTCCTAAATAATCAAGAAAAATAAATAAATCAATAAAAATTTTCTTTTAATTTTTGATATATACTTCTAGAAAATGATTAAGTAAACTTGGATCTTTTCGCAAAATAAGTTCTTGTACATGTCGAAGATGTTGTACTCGGTCACTATCTTTTCCATAAAATAATGCTTGATTAAGTAAGTCAACAATCTTTAAAAAAATAATTAAATAAACAATCATGTTGAATAGACATATGGACAAAAATTTTGCAAATAATTTTCGTCAAAAGTTAAATTGTATATGTAATCAATCGATAACAATTCAAAGTAATTCATTTTTACTAATTGAAATCAATATTTTATTTAGATTTTCAAGCAGGATTATCTCCTGATGCTAAATTAGGGATGCAACGGTGTTCACCGCTGCACTAGTCTAGACTTGAACGCACGATAAAACTACAATGGCCTTAGATTCATTTCGACTTTCTCGGTTGGCATAGGCCTATTTCAAAAAACAAAAATTGTTGAATTTTATAAAAGATGACTAAAAGGTAAAAATTAAGCCTTTCTCGATAGAGAAAATCTCGACAAATCTCCTATAGATTCAAAGTCCTAGGCTCCGAAAACTTTTGTCTAAGTTTATAAAATTTAGCCATTTTCTTAAAATGGTCTCTCCTACTGGAAAATTCGAAATCAATCCAAGATCACCATATTCTTATCATGTGTTTGAATTTAGTCTATACGGAGATATCTAGACCAGTGCATATCTGTACGTAAGACCGGTGTATTTTCATCGTTGCATCCAAATGCTGGATAATACATGGTCAATATTTTCCAGTCAATTATTATCTTTTAGATAAGATGCAAAAGTCATTGTATTTATATAAACAGCAAAATAAGAAAGTAAGCTACGTTTTTGCAAGTAGAACTTTATAAAAAAGTAAACTATCTCCGTAGTAGTAGGAACGAGTTTTGATAAACATTTTATCATGAAAGAAATGCAGTGATTTTGGAAATTATTTTTTTGTATTTGATGGAGTTTCTACCATCCTTTCAAATATCACATACTTAAAAATAGTTAGTAGTTTTTAAAATTTTAGTTACCGAAATAAAGCTCATAATGTTGTCAATCCGTTATTTTAAGAACTCATCATTATATCATGTCAGAAGGATAATCAGTTCCTTTGCATGACTGTTAGAACAATATTACTTTTAAAAAGCTGACTTATTATTAAAATACAACTCAAGTTCGGATGCAAATCGTCTAAAGAATTTTTTGAAATTTTATAAAAAAATCTCATTACCTTTTCTTGTATATTATCTGACATGATTTACTGTAACATTCTTTTATCATAATCTAAAAAACAAAAAATACAGATTTTCTTTTTCTTTTTTTATGTCTCTATTAGAGTAAATTCTTCTTGATCATAACGTAGTTCTTCTAAAATTTCGTTAATATTATCAATAAGTTTAATTAACTTTCGATTAATTTCTTCGAATTGTTCATTTTTCTTTTCAATTTTTGCAACAAATAAATCATTCGTTAATTGAAGTTTTTGTTGTTCATAATCTTGTAATTGTTCAACATGTTTAAAAATACTTTTATTATTTTCAAAACGTTTTTTTATAAGTAATATATCTTCTGATATTCTTCTAAATATAACTGTTATATCGGAAACAAAATTTTGAAACGCTGGAAAATTGTGTGTATTCAAAAATATTAATTGTGCATCATGAAGACGTTGATAAGTTAGACAACGTTGAGATTGAAGACGAAATAATGTTGGTAAAAGATCATTTATCTTACATTCATTTATATTGACATCATCTTCGATTTTCTCCATCTAGAACAGAAATACAATCATATAGAAGAAATTTCTTTTTTTATTGTTTTTTGTTATTAATATACAACGACAAAGAAAAAAAAAAGAAATCTTTATTTGATATATTTGTCCATAAAACGTCGATGAAAATCACTACGTAAACTATCATTAATAAACTGTGCAACACGCTTTTCACCTGAAGAACCATCAGCTTTTGCACAATTTTTAAAAACAACATCGTCATCCCAACGACGTTTAACACGAAATTCAGCATTTGAAGGTTGTGCTGAAGATTTTGATGCAGGATTTAATAATGGATTGCCTTTGAGAATATTTTCTGTACGAATTTTTTCTTCTTCTAAACGTTTTTGTTGTTCAAGTCGTGCTGCTTCAGCTGCACGTTCTTTTTTTATACGAGCTAATTCAGCCATAAGTTCAGCTGTATCATCTTCATCATCATCGTCTTCATCATCATCATCATCTTCTTCTTCATTACTTATTGAACGATTTTGTTGTGTATTCTTATTCAATTTTGATTGATGATGTGATGTTGTTTCTTCGTCTGATGATGATTCATCAAGAGGATCACTAAAGAAATAAAATATAATTTATTTATATTCAATTGTTTATTTTATTTTACATACTCAGCATCAATATTTGTTTCAGTATGAGTTATTGCCGGTTTAGATCGACTACTTGTTGTCCCACCAGATGTAATACGTTTTGTATCAGATGAAGATCGTTGTGATTGTTGTTTATCACGAACATTTCGCTCACGTTCTTCAAGTTCTCGACGTATACCTTCACGATCTTTTAATCGTATTTCTTCTTGTGTATGTTGACCTTTTTCACGATATTTTAATGTTTTATTTGCTGGCATATCCCGTGCCGAATATTGTTTTGACATGCCACTAAGATTTGCTTCACCTCGGGAAGTACCACCGACTAACAAGAAAATGTTTTTTTTTTAATCGGTTTTTTTCTTGCAATTAATGAAAAATACTTACCGGCTGGTTGAAATGCATTGGTCGCCATGGTTTAAATCACAAAAATCTAAAAGATAAATTGAGGATATTCAATTATACTAAAAGCTTATCTGATTATTCATCTATTAAATAAACTTTCGATAAAATAACATTCTGATATGCTTTTTGAACTGTAAACTATTCACACAATGAAATCATATATATGTTGTGTGTTGGAACTAAGTTACACCATTCTATACATACACATATCATTGTTTGGAGAGCTTAATATCCAATTAAAGATAGTTTCTTAATAGTAATGAAAGACTAAATTTGTATTAATTAGAAAAGTAAAATTGAATAAGTTTTATTTATATATATAAAATAATAGTTTTTGTCTATTCGAACGAATTTCAGAGGTCACCACATGTAAGAATAAAACTGAATGGTTATAACAAGCATACATAGTATGATACTATTTGAATAATTTCAGAAAGAAAAACTATCTTTTAAATGATATAAAGTCTTTTTCTTGTATATAATAAAATCATATTATCTTTCAGACAATGGCACAAGTAACAACAGCAAATAATAAGCTTACAACTTCACCATTTTGTTTTCATACGACAACATTCGGACAAAATATACGATTAGAAAATAATGCATCAAAAGCGGTTCGACATACATCTTTCGACCATGGTATTCTCATTTTTTTATGTTAAATCTTAATATTTCTTTTGTGTTGTATTTTTTTTTTGATTTTAGGTATTACATTTACAGATAAACCAATTAATATTAATGAACGTATACATCTAAAAATTGTTGAGGTTGATGAAACTCGCCAATGGTGTGGTTCATTAGCTATAGGTGAAAAAGGAAATCATAAGAATAGAAAGAAAAATTTTAAAAAGAAATATTTTAGGATTTACTCAAGTCGATCCAAATACAATTCGACAAGAGGATTTACCTAAATCAGCGTTACCAAATCTTAGTCCAACTAATAAATATTCTTATGTAAAACGTCTCTATGAAACATTAACAAAACAACTTTGTATTATTTTTTATTATAATCCTGAGTATGTAATTAATAAATTTCGAATAAGTTTCTTTTTTTTTATTATTATATCATTTCTTTAGTGGAGCTTATTTCATTCTTGATGGAAAAGAACAAGATATATGCAAAAATATTGATATAAAAAAACCTCTATGGGCAGTTATTGATATATATGGCAATGTGAAAGGTAACCAATGAAATTGTTATTTTTCCTCATTATATTATTGAAGTTCGACTGTTCATTTAGTTTGCCATTTCTAATTGTTGTCTTCATTGAAAAGACATTGCAAAGTATAGCATTCTCAATTATCTTAGATTTTGCATCGAATTCTATATAAATATGTAGATATATATATATATATATTAGAATAGCATTTTTATGCGATGCAAAACATATGATTACTAATATTTATGTGGAAACGTTTTTAACTCTTCTTTGTTAGACATTCATGATTTCTCCAAGATTCGTAGTCTCGAGATAAGAAGTTAGAAAAAAATTTATTTATGAAATTTCCAGTTGAAAGTTGACCTGTACATAGATCTTATAATCCTTTGCAGCTGACTTCTTTAGATATCGAATGTTAAAAATCATTCATATGTATAAAAATAGTGTAATTCTATTTCTTTTTTTTTTTCATTATCAAAGGCTATAAATCAAATACAAAAAAACTTTAAAGAAAAAAAAATCTTTAGAGATGAACTCTTTAAGATTTATTAAATTTTATTCAAACCACTGAATATATCTTTTAATCGTGTTTAGTAAAATTCAATTCAACTGGAAGAATTCAGAAACTCAATCATATATAAAGAATGTTCTGACTGAATAATTTAAAAAAATATATAAAATATTTTTCAGTTGATGATTTTAGTTTATCAGTCTCGATGTGTGTCAATAAGTTAACTTCAATGAAGAAAAATATTACTATATTCTTATTGTTTCTCGTTATATTAAAATATTATTTTCTAGCTGTCACTTTTACAATTCCGCCAAAAACCACTGATGATGGCAAATCCCTATTTGCTAAATATCCTCAAAAACCAGATAAATTACCAATTCTTCACTTTACTCAATTAAGATCTGAAAATTTTCAACCAGTTACATTTAGTAATATTCATGGTCCCGAATTAGAATTATATTGTGAATATAAAGTTGCATTACGGAAACGTAAGTTTTTAAAATTCAAAATTAAATCAATTAATTTTTCTCTATATCAGGTGTTCAAAAACTAGTTCGACCTTATTTATTCATTAATTTTCCTTTAGCACCTGGTGACGAACTTTATATACGCATTTTATCCATTGATCCAAATTATCGAACACCGTAAATAATGTGTTTTCTTTGCGATGAATTATTTTGTTTTTTAATTTTATTTTAAAAAGAGGAATATTTGGTTTTACT